TATGCCAGGTGCCAGGAGCTACTAGTAGCTTCTTGTTACTAGTAGTATTGGCCTCCAACCTAGTAGCGATGGCCTCCACCCTACTAGCTTCTTACTACTAGTAGTATTGCCAGGAGCTGCTAGTAGCTTCTTGTTACTAGTAGTAATGGCCTCCAACGTGATAGCGATGGCCTCCACCCTAGTAGCTTCTTTCTAATAGTAGTTTTGCCAGGAGCTACTATATAGTAGCTTCGTGCGCAAATATATGGAACAAAATAAAACCACTCGCCTATCAAAAGTAGCTCCAGAGCCTGCAGTTTGCAAAATGTCATGAGACTTGGCTATGTGGGTCCGAATGTCTCATTCAACGTAGGATTCCCACATTATTCAATCCAAGCGACTTTGAAAATATGTTCTCTGAAACCTCAAGTCACCCACCTCCCTCTCGCACGCTCTCGCATGCTCTCGCGCGCTCTCTTTCTTACCTCTGCCAACTCCACGCCTTCCTTCAATGCTTGCATAAGTGTTGGTGAATCTCTTAACCATTCCTGACCGGCAAATCTCCCTCTCCCAATTGAATCATGGCACCTTTCTCCGGCATGTGGACAATCATCACAGAGCCACCTCGGGCCTGCTGGAGCATGGTGCCAGCGACCCATTGAGAGTCCTGCCACGAAAAGAACAAGGATTGCCTATGGTGACCCGCTTAAATCATGCTGCTTGGTCCCCAAGAAATGTCTACCATGTGTTTGTTTGTGGTTCAAAGTTGTCATTTGCTCAAACACAAAGCTTCAGAACCTAAAGGTCTGCTTTGGCTCCAAAAACTCAAGAAATCGACAGCTACTAAGGCGCCAGACCCAATCACTTGCAAAAGGTGTGAGAGGTGTCAAATGTCTGATTTGTCTGATCCTTTTTGCGCGTTTGTCGACCTTTTTGTCTACTAATTGGTTTAGTTTATTGAACCTCTTAGATATTCACCGAATGACTTGAAATAGTCTGCACATGGCACACACCCAAGCGGCTCATACAACACCGACAGGACACCAAGAAGAAAATATAGATGTAGCCACGGTCATTTAAAGAGCCACAAAGCGCTACAGAGCTCTTAGGAATCTCACCAACCCGATTCAAAGCACCAAAACGGCAGGCACGTGCAAACAGCCGTATCAACATGTACCAACGGATCTATGTGTACAATCTGGTTCTGGATGCACCAACTGCCCAAGAAACCAGTGCGACGTCACTCCAGAGAAAGCAACAGCAATCACTCTTGCTTCAATAGTGCCAAATCCAGGCCAGACCATGTACCAGTTTTTTTAAATTGCACATTGAAGAAAGAAAATGGCTCTTGTTTCCACCTGCACTGCAATCGGTTCGTCCTCAATTGCCCAGTCGTCACAATAGCAGTCTCCAAGTGCATGTTGCATGCCGTGCTTCGACACGTAGCCATGCATTTGCCCAGAATACCTTCACACAAGTTGACTCACATCCGCTTGTCATGGCTAGAGACCTGAATTTTACATTTGTTCTTGTTTGCCAGATGAGCGCACTTGCCCTGCGGTGCTCGAAACCAGTATGGATTGGCACCAGTAAGCTCCTGATTGGACAGTTTTGGCAAGTGCATTCCTGTGCTTAGAACGGTGGACTAATTGGCACACCTCAGTACACACTACAGGAATATATGACTGAATGCAAAAGGTATACAGTATATTGCTCTTACATAATTATGTTCAGTTGTGAAAAAGAAACGCAAACAAACATGTCCTCACTTCTGACATTGATGACTTCAAACGCCCCACCCACAAGCAACTCTTCCATGAAGAGTTGAGTTGAAATCCAAAGTTCCTGGATCTTGGAGGAAGTTTTCAACAGCTCGGTTTCAAATTCGACCGGCGGCATGTTGTAGTAGTCCACTCCATCTTTGGGACCTCAAGCTAGGGGTCAGCTGGAATGTAAGGACATGTTACAAGATATATCTTCACTAGCACATCCTTTCCAGCACAACCTGCACAGGAGCAAAATGGACTGACAAGGAGTGCTGCCAGTTTGCCAAATACACGGAGCTGAGAATGGTGATATCGCCAAAAATGGATTTCACTTTTGAACCAGTTTGCACAAACCGTTCGCGGCAAATGTTACCTGTTACCAGTCTGTTCTCAAATGAAAAAGAGTCAGAGCAATGGCTCTCTGAGCTAATCTCAGAGATTCTCTGTGAGTTCTGTCTGAAGTGTGTGCGCGCTCCAGTGATCAAAGAGCATGTAGACTTCACCTCTCTAAGTTCACACCTGTGCATAGGCGAGTCTGGTTCTTGCCTTTGCAGTGAATTGGGGACAATAGCACCTTACCTTCTTGTCCAGTGAACAACGGGGGGGCAATGTTTCTCAGCGCCAGGCAGTGGTTTGCAAACTCGTGGCCATCTTCGAGCAGCTGCTTGGCCTCTGCTTCTAGATCCTCGACATAGTCACTGCAAAGGAAGAAGGTCGCTTGTGCTCCATGCTCCTTGACATCAGTGCTTGGACATCAAAAGCAAGAAGTGCTGGCAGTGAGAAATCATGTGCTCTGCTCGGGCTGTCTTCTGGCATAGGATGAATGCTCTGTGTATGACTGTATGACTCTACATTCTGCTTTGTATAGATTGTATTGGTTCTGATTAGAAGGAAATCCAACAAAATGCCTGTGCTCAAAGTGTTCCGTCAACCCCAAGTTCAGCTCCTTCAGCAGCTCTCGGACTTCTGTGACCATCGACCGCCCAGCTCCACTCCGGCATAGGCCATCATCAATGGTCAGCGCCACATGTCCTGCATTCTGTCAAACCGTGGTCCTGCATGGATTCTGTTGGATCTTTCAAGCCTGGGCTCTTTTCAATAAACAGACTGGTTAAGAGCCCTTAGTTTCATGGAGCCTTCGGCTTGGAGTTCGACTTACTGTAATGTAGACTTGACCTGCAAACTTGGATGCGATTAAACACTGAAACTTGGATCCTCTATATTATACACTCTAGGCTGTCCTTGGGCTGTTGGACTCGATGCATAGTGAAATACGGTGGTGTTTCCATAGACCAAGGCCTCACAAATAGTCTGTTCTAAACTCGTTGATTGTCAAAAGCATGTGTTGCCTAGTTGAGGCCAAAAGGAACACCTTTAATAACTTTAATAACGCAATTATTCCTTCTTGCAAGTCACAAACGTAACTACATCTCATCATGTAACATCCACCTAACATCACCTGACCACTCATGTTCGACTCTGCTTTTCAGTGTTGCGAGCAAGCAACACTGCACAATGTGCAGGCATGCAAAATGGGCTATTTACAACAATCTTACAACTTCAGCGGAGCAAACTATGATACTTGTTGTTGCACATAAAAAGGCTGCCAACTTTTCCCCTTGTGACAAAAACTACAGTGGGCACAAACGTACATCAAAATGCCCAACACATACACCATTGAGAACAGCCCCTGTGTCACGGAGACTTGTTCACAGGATACGATTGAGTCTTTTTGTGTTGTGCAGCTGATTATCCCACTGTGGCCGTGCAGAACCACAGTCATTCCACGTGTCTAAGAAATCAGCTTGACTGAAGGTTCATGATGTTCATATCGCAGAGAACTGGACACAAAGCGAATTCTGTCGAGCCCATATGGGAAGCACGGTGGTACTTCAAAAGACGGCGACAAATGAGCAACATCTAAGAGAAAGCGGAGCACCTGGTACCACTTGGAATGGCAACCACTAAGTCACCAAGCCCAACTATTATTAAGATTTAATTAATATATATATATATGTATTATATAGAGTAAAGCATCATATCACAATGAAACATCCATTTGGATTCAGTCAAGCTGCGGGCCAGGTAACAGGCCGCAAGTTCAGTGAGGTGGTCAAACTGTGTAAGGGCTTCAGCATAAAGGCGGAAGGGCCAAGAGAAGCGATTGTTAGAGCAAGAAGTATTCTTGACACTCTTCTTGAGCTTGAGCAGCTTGTGCAGCTTGTGCTTCGAAAAAGAACTTCAGCTTTTTCGAAAAAGCACTTCAGCTTGCAGCTTCTTCTTCGCTTGCGCTGTCGCATGAAGGCTTGAGACCTTGAGAAGACTTTGATGTTGCAGATGTCCATGAAACCTTTCCTGAGAATGATAAGTAGAAAATATAAAGAAAAAAACATGATTTTTTTGCCCGAGGCCCTGCCTTCCTATTTAATTAAGTAGGCGCCTACTTAATAAGTATATAAATGAGGTAAGCTATACTAGGCTAAGTTAGCTTCTAGTAGCTGGACGCAGGATAGCTCACGCTAATGATTTGGTTCCTAGATGTTTAGGGAAACTTAAGTCAACATCTCACAAGTTTGACAGTGCGATGACACACAACGAAGATTGTTTCATAATGTGTTTGCGAATCAAGCAGAGCTAGCATGCAAGCTTGGCAGCCTTGACAGCCTTGATTTTGGTCATCAATGCGACTTTGAAAAGGCTGTCCCCATGAAATTTGCAAAACGATCTCAAAGGTTTGATTTGGATGATTTGGGGGCCCTCGGAGTATTTTGAGAAAAGATCATGGTCGGACCCTGAATTCATGCCTTTGCAACCAGAAAGAAAAATGTGTAAGATTCGTTTGAGCATTCAGGCATTCAGCCTACTAACATGGTCTCTGAACCTGATGAGAAGCCTGTGGATGCCAAGAACGTTATGGATCGGGAAGCGTGATGTTCCATTGACCTTCCCCTTCTTTGACAATTTGCCTTGTTGCAGCCTGCTGGCAGCATGGACCACCTTTTCTCCAAACCACTATCCTGTGCCACCTCTTTTCAAGCGGCATATTGCGTTTGCGGAATATGTCACACTTTTGGGTAAAGAGATTCCTAGAGACTCAAGAGTCTGGAAGCAGCTGGACAGACTGATGTGGAATTGGAGACTCTGCAAGCAGGGTCAATCGTCCCTCTGAAGCATTACAGTAATCCTTCAGCTCAAACCTTCATACTGTTCTATCTGAACCAAACACTTCGCAGCTTGTCCATTGCAAGGATGCGCAGGAGGCTCATTCCTACATGCCGAGGTAGCGGTGTCGGATATCTTCGAAAGGTCAAGGTTGAACCCTTGGAAGGGCGTTTGGTTTCTGGAAAAGCAAAGGGAAAGCAAGGGTTGCCCCTGCCAATCGACTTCTCTCCAAGACCATGGTCACACCAACCTCCTCCCGAATCCATCAAAATGGGCGGATCTTTGGGGACATGGGAAGAGGGTGCAAAGGTCGGCTGGAGAGCAAACTCCACCTCAGGACCAGTCCATGGAGGCGATCGATGCCACAAGCAGGTGTTGAAAATGACCACATCTCCAGGATCCATCCACGGCTCCATAATCATGTCTTTCTTCAATTCGACACCTGGAAGGACTGGTAAACTGGTGTTGTAGTCGTAGCCAAACCACGGCTCAAAGCGACCTTCTCGACGATATGGTGACTTTCCGGCCCAGTATAGCTGAAAATCTTCTTCTCGCATGGCGGCAGCGTACTGACTTTGGTTCAGGATTTGTGTGCCTCGCACGCCTTGTTTGAACGCCAAAGGAACAGCCAGCCTCGGGAGAGCTGTAGAAGTGTACTTGGATGGCTGATCGCCACCTTGACATTCGGTTCGATCGATATGCCAGCCATTTGTCACATTGTTTTGATGTCGTCTGCTCAAAAAATCTCGTTGCAGTTGAGCTGATGGTGGCAAGTGGCTGGTCACAGACTCTGGGCTGCTGAAGAATTGGGCAGCAATTCCGCCAAGGGGTCCGAAAAGGTAGAAATCCAAGAGTTCATCCGAGTCCATCCACATGTTAAATGCGGTTGTCATATTGAAGTATCCCGCATCAGCCTTGGCCAGAATGAGCTTGTGAAGCTTTTCGACGACCTCAGGTCTGAGTACTCCTTTCAGCAGAGTTGCACCATCCCGAAAGAACTCTTTTCGATGCTCCTCCGTCACAACAAACGACTTGCCATAGTTCTCTGGTCGTGCAAATTCACTCTGTCCCACGGTTCTCACCAGCCTGGCGCCAAGCAATTTTTTAAGCTGATGATCCTTGAGATGAGAACAACATGGGAAACACAAAAAAAATAACCACTGTCCTAACAGACCCTGCTGTCCCAGAGCTACAGGGAGTGGACCAAAGAAACACTTTGACATACTTTGACCTACCTAGCGAACGTTAAAAACCCAGGGTCTTAGGCAACATGTTCATGGTTTTGATGGTGGCGTTTCCAATCATGCACACTTTTTGTTCAAAACAACTCCACGTGATAGAATATGTCATCAAAGTACAGCGGGTCAGGTCGACTCTAATAAATATTTATATATATATATATAATATATATATATAAAATACATATAGGTCAACAATTGATTTGCTTGAGCAAGTGGCTCGGGCGGCTCTAGGAAGCCACTCCAAAGCCAGGCCAGCACAACAGGCACCAAAAGGAGGAGCCCACGACAGCAGAACTTGCAAATTTTAAAGCACATCTCTCCGAGGTGCTCAACATTAAATGGCTAAGAGCTACTTGAGCAAATTGTGGGCAGAATGTGTTTTGTCCCTGTGCAGCTTCCCAACCAACAACTAAGGTTCCTGAAATTTGGTCTGTTTATAGGCATGACAACAAATCACATGTTCAGGCAAACTATGAAAAAACTACCGCTCCCATTCTCTAACTCCAGAACTCCGATTGAGCTGTGCTTTACAAAACATTGTTTTCTCCTAAATATTCCTAAATATGTTGAGCCGGGAACCCAGTGCAGCAGCGCTGTTCTTTGGCATCGCAGCTTTGTCAGGCTGGTGGCATTGATTGCAGAGCGTTTGGGTTGAGAAGGTGCCTCGAAGACAGCTCTGCTCCCTTTAGGATGGCTGAAGGCGCCATAATCACCTCTGTCAAAGACCTCCAGGATGTGCTTGGGCCAGGGCAAGAAATATTAAAACCAAAGGACATACTGATTGCGACATGAGACATTTGAAGGATTCGTCATTGAATATGACCGCTCAACACCACACTGACACAAACAGGACAAAAAAAAGAGCCACGATGCAGCTCATTGATTGAGGCCTCCTGCCTCAACGCAATATGACCACATACTCCGGATAAGCGCCCGCACGTACGTCAGGCGGCAACAGAAACTCTCGATGGCGGTCAAGTTCTTGGCATGTGGTTGAAGTCACTTGAAGCAGTGGAATCCGGTAGAATAAGCATTTAACCAAGTAAATGGGAACTTGGTCTAAAGATTTGAGAAGTTTGACATGAGAGGAGGGAAAGAGAAAGAGAGAAACACACACACAAAAAAATAAGATAAAGAAAGAAAGAAAGAAAGCAAGCAAGCAAGCAAGAAAGAAAGAAAGAAAAAACGAGAGAGAGAGAGAGAGAAAGAGAGACACAGAGAGAGAGAGAGAGGGCGAGCGAGAGAGAGAGAGAGAGACAGAGGCAACTCTCTTCTTAAAAAAGAAAAATGTATGTATAATTACAGCTGAAATATGGCAAACTCTCTTTGACAAACAAAAAGCCTTGATCGTGCAGCACAAGTTCTTGCATCTCTTGATAAACTTGTGACATTGCCAGTGCCAAAATCTAACAACATGTCATGTCAATGTGCCACAACCAGCGGACTGCGACCACGCACTGCAATTCCGCCTTATAGAGCAAGTGGCGCAAACAAGGAGCCATGAACTTGTGGTTTTACTCTTTGGGGTTTTACTCACAGTTTGTTGTCAGTGTGATGAGCGTCGGGTTTTCCTATCATTTGGTATTGCAGCAGGATCCAACAGATTGAGTAAAGCCAACATGCATTGAGCACACGAGTTTGACAACACTGACATGTCAAGGGTGCCTTGCTCCTAGGAGTTTCTTGCTACTAGTAGCAATGCCAGGAGCTACTAGTAGCTTGTTTCTAGTAGTAAGGTGGCTAAAACACCATCACACATTGTTTGTGCCTTCTGAGGTTACACGAAGATGGTGCAGGCTGAAAAGGAGTGGAGTTGCCTCTTGGCGACAAAGTTTGCAGAGGGGGTCTGAACATGCCTGGCCGCCTGGCCCTTAGTTCACCAATTGTGGCGGCACAACTGAGAAAGCAAAAAAGCATTTCCGACCCTCCACAATAGGGAGGGCGGGCAGGGTGCAGAAGAGCAGCAGCTGCATGAGTTCTTCCTTCCTGTCCCTGATAAACGTAGCATTGTGATTGCCCTTTGCACCGCGTGGGGTGCAAAATCCCCTACATTATGGCAACTGTGGTCGTGCTTCAAACAAGGAGGCGTGATGAACAAAAAGTGTGAGCTATTGAATCGACAAGACCCGTACCTGGTATTGTTGAAAATAGATGCTTCAAAGCGGTGTATGTGCAAGACCTTTACTTGTTTGCAGTGATTGACGCAGCAAACCGCTTATGCAGGTTCAATTTTTCTTGTGTCCAGGCCTGAGATCTGGGGCACAGAAGTTGCCATGGATACACCTAATAATAGCCGTGCCCTCCAACCCAATAGAGATGGCCTCCAACCTAGTAGCGATGGCCTCCAGCCTAGTAGCGATGGCCTGCAACCTAGTAGCGATGGCCTCCAACCAAATAGCGATGGCCTCCAACCTAGTAGCGATGGCCTCGAACCAAATAGCGATGACCTCCAACCTAGTAGCGATAACCTCCAACCTAATAGCAATGGCCTCCAATCTAAGAGCGATAACCTCCAACCTAATAGCAATGGCCTCCAATCTAAGAGCGATGGCCTCCAACCTAAGAGGGATGGCCTCCAACCTAGTAGCGATGGCCTCCAACCCAATAGGGATGGACTCCAACCTAGTACCGATGGCCTCCAACCTGATAGGGATGGACTCCAACCTAAGAGCGATGGTCTCCAACATAGGGCAAATGTTGCTCCTGCTTGTGACAGTTCACTGAGCCAATCGCGTATTGTGATGGAGCTGTACATGCCGCTCCCCCACTCGCGGTGCAGCCGGGGGCCAGCATGTTGGCCATTGTGGATCAAAGACCTGCCGTTGCAGCAGGACCAAGCAAACAAACATCAAAAACAACATACAAGGAAGGAGTAAAACGAGCGTTGTCGGCCTCCCAAGCAAAACACGGCAAACCAGCACAGCCCAAGGGCTATCCAGATTCTCCTGCCCATCTGCAGCACCCCACCGAAGGAATCAGTACCAACAGTGAGAGATGTCCAACTGCACCAGTCACAGACTAAAAACATGGCAAGAGAATGATGGTATTTTCATGCTGTGAAGTGAGTAGCAAACATCGACCAACATGTTAAGCCTCTTGGATACAGAGTTCTTGTTGAATGATTCAAAGGAGTCATGAAGGCATGTGTTCAAGACTTGTTCCATGCCTCACCCTGAGCCTTGGATGAAGAACATAGTGTGTCATGAAAAACCGTTTGATCTTTTCAGCAACAAGAGAAGTTGGAAGGAAAAGTGAAAAGAAAAGGGTGGTGTGAAAGATATGTCTGTCCATCTTTAAGAGCTTTGACATTAAGACTCTTCCTACTCGACTTAAAGAAGTTGAAAGCAAACTGTGGGGCATGTCGAGTCCAAACCAAAAACGGGCCCATGGAATTTGCAACTTGGCGTGCCAGGAGAATCCGATTCCAGTCAAATGTGTCTCCTTGTTGTAACCAGCTTCGGTTGCTTGCTCGTGGGCAAGAAAGCCTGGGCAGAACAAGCCAAATCTGACAAAGTTGCGAGACAAGCTTGCAAGCCCAATCCCATGTAGAGCAAAGCATAAGGAGTTGGGTGTATGTGCAACCCTGCCTCTGTCGCAGAATTGGGCACCACCCCCAAAGCGCCGCAGTAAGACATGTCTAGGACAATCAGGAGTGTCCGGAACCTCCAGTCAGCCCATCAGGGTCATGCTTGTGCGAGTCCGTACCATCTGCCAGGATGGATTTTCCAGATAAATTGATGCCAGTGAAGCTTGAGATGCAAATGATGTAAATGAATAACAACTCCGCATGCGTGTACTACTTAGTCAGCTCAAAAAAACAAACATATATATAGATCTTGAATGTCTTGTACCTGCGCATTGAGCTGTGTAAGCTCCGCCATCTCCACGGTCGTACCATAGAGCAAGATTTGCTCATTGGCACCTCATGAGAATCTGGGTTCTTCTGCCTTAAGGGTGTTGAAGAGACTGAAGCAAATGGACACCAAGGCGTAAACATCAACTTAAAAACATACTTTGAGATAAAGGTTGATAAAGGATCAAAGCAGAATGCAAACATATCACAAGGCTGGTGGGTTCCCTTTTTTGGCACGTCCTGAAGGCCCAAGCACACTCCAAGTGTCAACTGCACTTTGCAACTTCAGCAAGTGTCGCATGTAACATGTTGAACCCAGCCAACTTGCCCCTAAACACTGCATGCTCTTTGTACTTAGCTGTTTGCGAGCACAGCGCTTCCCAGTTATTCTAGGCATTTGCATCATTATGCTGGAAGAGCATGGCAGCAAAAGAACCATGTGAATCATGTAACAAAGTATGACAATGAGACATGCATGTCCAAAAACATGAAGGCCAAATAAATGTAACGCCATATTACATGTCTTGGCTCTGCACCATCTTCAATAGCAGCATGTGATCCTTTTGTAAATCTACCTTTAGGATCTCTGACCAACTGTTCTTCATTTGGATAGCATGACTCTGGGCAAACCTCTAAAGTTTGTAAAGCTCGCTCGGGCTCGCTTGGGCTCATGGAATCTGCCAAGCGGCGTGGATCCAATTCTTCTCCGAGGTTTGGAAGCACTCGGGGAAACTCGTCACTGTGCCGCCTTCCTCGTAGAATGGCGCTCCTGCGTGCAGTGTACATCGCCCATGCAGAAGAGCTCTCAATGCGAAAAACCTTGGCAGTGGCACGACGTGTCCCAACTTGGGAGTCTCGAAACAATACATACCAAAACAATTTAAGGTGCTTGGAGTAAACAAATCATGCAATCATTTTGACGTTGGAACAGTACTGTTATGGACCAAAAGCGTGACAAACAGAACATGCAGACCTGCCTGACATGCCCTAAGAATGGTTATATTCTGCATAGTGCAGGAAGGCAACACGCTCACAGCGAGGAGGGCAATGCCACGTGGGGTCATTCAACACCAGACGTGCCTGAAGCCAAGACTTCTTCACTTCGTTTCGATCCTTGAGAACGATTTGTCCATCACAACTTTATTAAGAAAAGTAGATGCAAACGATACAGAACATCCTCTTGCGTCATCAAAATCAGATTCTCGCTCTTTGATCCCATCCTACAACTTAGATCAACTTAGTGCCTTGGAGTTCCCCTGTCATTGGACCAGTTGCAATATCACCCCCTTCGCCATCGACCGAAAGCTCTACGACTTCGTGGAAGTGTGGAAGGGCAGTGTGGCACCAGCGGCGCGGGAAGCCTCAAGCACAAACCGAAAGCAATTCCATAGACTTTCAAGTAACATAATAATATAGATTAATTGTATATAAGATATAAAACGACTTCCTATGGAAAAGAACTTAAGCAGATGAGCCATTCAATAGCACTCCAAATGAACTCAAGATTTCAATAATTGTGAAAGCCCTCGTGGACAGGCTTTCAAGCGCCCCTTTTGGCCGAACGCGTAGCGATTTATGGCTGTAGGCCTATATGGCCGCATGAGTAAAAAGACATGCCTCAAGCCGAACGATCCGACACTGATACCAACCGGTTCACTTCACAGCTGATTCTCTTCTTTTCTTGGCTCAGTGTCGGTGCCCTGCTGAAGCACGTGACCAGGATTGCCGCGTTCAATCCTAGAGGTCCGCGAACATTTCGAAGTTCGCTCATCTTCACGCCGTCTTCAAGGCGTCTCCACTGCAATGCATGTGCACCTTCAAAACATGCAAAGGTGGTGCGAAAGGGAAGCTCAGCTTGCTTGAAACGAGGCTCCGGAGTTCGGTAGGAGCGAGCGTTCAAACAAACATGAATGGCAAGGTCATCAGACACTCGGTGCCAACCAGCTTGCTTACTCAACTTCATCACATGGCCGAAAATGGGGTCTGTACTTTCAAAAGGTTCCCCAAGGTCACTACGAACATCAGTCAGGACCACCTTTTTGGCGGATTTGCCTTTCGAACTTTGTTTAACAAAGCTGGGCGAGTAACTAATGCACCAGCGACACTCGTCCATGATGCGGAGCAACTGAGCATTGTCCATCTCCTTCGTTCCGCAATCGACGAAGAGGTTTTCTGTCGAGGTCCAGCGGATCATGGTGTTGCTGCGGGCTAACATGGTGTGAATCCATGCTATTGTGAAGGCTAAGGATTTCTGCGATCCATAGGACGGGGTTGAACTGGAGCTCTTGTCATAGGCATCCTTTGAGTCAGTGACAATGACCATGGAGATCGAGTCTGTGCTCAGCTCGAAGGGTTTCTTGTCCAACGGATGTCCACATGCTTCTGCCACAACTCCTCTGCAGTATTGCCCTGCGTCCATTGCTTCTTCAATGCCCATGAGCTCTGCAGCAAAGGTGGATCTACAGACGCGTTGAAGTCTGTGCGACCTCGCGTCTAAGATGGCAAATTGGCCTGGCTGGCCATCCAACAACTTGCGATCCGCCAGAAGCACATAGTAAGAGGCCTGGCTGTAGACTTTCTCCAAGCTCTCACCCTGAGCGGTTCCGGCCTTGGTCATGTTGCCCAAGGAGGCGTCAGAAACGACAACGATGCCAGCGTCTTTTAGGTTCATCGGGCGGAACTTCAAAGCAAAGTTGGGATTCTCTTTCACCTTTCTCACAAGCTGATTTGCACGAAGCAGAGTGCCAATCGTCGGGTGTGCAGATTCACCTTGTAGGCTAGAGAGCTGGAAAGCAACATCATAACGGATTTGCGCAACCAACCATTGCAGTGATCCCAGAACAGCACGGAGTTGCTTGTGCTCTGAAGGACACAATGGGGTTTCCGGCTTCTTCTTCCTATCCGGAGCAATGCGAACAGGTTGCAGGTTGGAGTGGTACTCGTCCATGGTGACGGAGATGGTTCCATCAGGCAACTGCTCTATCTTTTTGCCGCAGTAGACGAAGGACTGGCTGGAAATGGATCCAAAGCCCAATTCTGCACCCAAGGATTCTAACGTTCCTTGAGCTCTTGAGTTGCCACCCATGAGGAAGTCATCCACGTGGGAAATCATGATCCCCTCCAAGGTAGAGCCATCGTTGCTCCACAACATCCACATGGCGTTGTCCAAAGCTGACAACTTCCAGCCTCGCTTGAGAACTGCCTTGTTCAAGCGCTGGTACCATCTGCGAGGACTGTCAGCCAAACCAAAAATGCCCTTCTTTACTCGGCAGAGGCCGAAAGAGGAAAAAGGCAAGGTAGGTTCATCTGCATGCTTGGTCTTTATGTTGGCGAGGTACAGCACACGCTCTTCTGGACCAAACTCTTCACCCTTCAAAAAAGCTGATTTGATGTCTGCTGACCATAGCGTCCATTGCAGGGAAGCAGTGTAAGCTAGAAGCAAGTGTTGACTTGTCCTGGATGCGGTTGGAGCGTCGCATCGAATGCCATAAGCGGAGATGTCCTGGTAACCGGGGACCACCAGGCGAGCGTTCGCCAAGAGCGGGAGCTGGTTCTTCTCTGTTCTCAGGCCGTCGTTCTTGTCCACCATGACGAACCTAGGGACTAGTATTCTGTGGCTCTGATTCTCAGCTCGTAGTCTTGCTCTGATGCGCATTGCTTCTTGGTCCGGCAGGATCTCCACAGCGTCGTTGTCGGGTCCAAACTGACCAACCTTTCTGAGCTGCTGCTCGGAACTCCTTTTTCTCAAACTCGGTCAACGAGTTCCAGTTCTTCTCCTTCCTGGCCGTGAGGACAGCTAACACTTCAGCCGCAGCACCTTGGTTGCCCAATGGCCAAAGTTGACCCAAGGTGTGCATTCTTTTCAAGGTCGTTCTGGAAGGCAAGGGCCATTCACCTCTCCAAGTGCCATGGTCACATACTCGTGCACTTAAAGGACCTCGACGATCAAGAGCAGCTAGAGCTTGAAGTTGGCGAAGAGGATGAACTTCAGCTTTAGCTTGCGTCTCCATCACTTCATGGGGCAAAGCAGTCGCATTCAAAACTTCGCTTGACTGTGGAGCAGTCACCGACGCTGTAGGACCGGGAATGTCTTCGGTCACTTCATCTGTTTGCTCACGAAGTTGTTCTGCATCAAGTTCAGCTGGTCGTTTGTTGCCAGCTTCTGAAACAGTCGGTGTCGTGCCGCTGACTTGAACCTGTTGCAGAGCTTGTTGAACTGCTTGTGGAAAAGGAGACTGTGTCAAGTCCACACTGGGCCTCAAAGAGCTTCGTCTTGTGCTAATTGCCATCGGGGTGTCTGTTCCTGGCGACATAGCTCGGGACATTCCCGCAACCATTTCTTGAGGGCGTAGAGGAGGTAGGTCACTTGGTTCTCTGGCCACCACTGGAAGCTCTGGTTCAGGAGGAGCTGGTAGGTCAACGTCATCCTCATGTACATGATCACGAGGTTGTGGATCTCCACTGGAGCTTTTGTCTCTGCAAACTGCTTCGATCACTTCTTCAATGGCATCCTCCCAGACTGAACTAGCGACCTGCTCAAGAGAACTGGCAGGTCTCACGTGTTCCAAAGCACACTTCGTCAACTGACCACGGTAGCTCGCGAAGACATTGGTGTGGCCTTCCATGGCGATCAACAGCGCAGGTCCATGCCATCGGCGTAGACTCAATTTCTTTCTGGAGCCAGCTGTCTTGTTGTTGTAGCGGGTCTGACGAAAGAAGTAAACTATTTGACCTGGTTGCAGATTGTGATCGATGGTGGAGGGTCTTGAACGGGCCAATGCAGCTCTCCTCAAACCTTTCGAGAAGTGCATGCGCAGCATAGCCAGTCGAGCTGTCTCGCGAATTGCCACCTGACGGGCTAAGCTTGGTTTGCTGTCGATGAGGCTGTGTTCACTCAGCCGACGGCCAAAATCGCCCAAAGTGTCTCCATGTAACCGAGGTTGTCGACCGAAGGCAGCCTGGCTCGGAGTGACTCCCGAATCCATCATATCTCCATTGTACGCTGCCACGGCCTCTTGAACACAAATGTCCACGTCATCTCGCCCGTAGACGGAGTGGGACTTCACCAAAGCTCTGATGATGCCCTTCAGGACTGAACCGCCCCTCTCCACAATGCCGTTTTGCCAAGGTGCTTGAACCGGAGTGTGGTGCAAGTAGATCGAGTGGCCGCTGCAAAACTCTTCAAACTCATGAGAGACAAATTCACGGCCTTGATCCGCCACCAAGGTTCGAGGAGCTCCCAAAACAGGAAGCCATCGAGTAGACATGAAGCGGGCTACCCGGTCCGAAGACTTGTGGTCAACCAACTCTGCCATCTGAAGGCGAGAGACAAAGTCGATCGCGCGCACGATGTAGAAGCGGGTTTCCTGCAGGTCAAAAACTTCGAAGATGTCTATATGCACTTGGTCACCAACGTCTTTCGGAGTAGGCAAACTGGTAGGTCTCCTCGCCTTCGGAGCGCGATGCTCATCACAAATAGAGCAACGAAGGCGCAGCGCTCCTTTCACCACGTTTGCTGGTGCCCCTGCAATTGCCAAAGCTCGGGCTAGTCTCTTACCCGATCGATGGCCAGTGTTCTCATGTAGTCGTCGAAGTGCATGTTTGACTCCAACAGGAAGCTTCTCCATCGTTTCTGAGCTTTTTGGGTCAGGCAGATCTACATCTGTATCGCTGTCATCTAAGTCAGCGAGTGGAGCTTCATCTTGGTCTGGATCTTCACCTTCAACTGCCATAGTGGAATGTGGCTGCCTGAAGTCGGCTTCAAATTGTTTCTCCATGCCTCGGACTAGCGTCTTGGCGAGCTCCCAAGGGTAGTGACCTGCAGGCTCAGAAATGTGCTTGCCGCCGATCACGTGCTCATGCCAATGATCTCCAAGACACTTCATGCCATCAAGCTGTTGAACCACATGGTCACTCGAAGTAGCAATGCGAGTGGCCTTCCGAATCAAGTTGCCGCCTTGTCCTCGGAGTTGAAAGCGGCATTGGTGAAAATCAACCAACCGAGCCTCAAGTTCATGTAAGGCTTTCTTCATCTCTTCCAGAGTCCAAGCACGTGAACTCTGTGGGTTCTCCAAAACAAAATGATGCCCTCGAACTCGTCGATCTCGAGCCAATTGAAGCGCAAAGCGAAGCAAGGTCAAAGCTTCTTCCAAGCGCCTCTCATAGTCTTTTGGCGGGTTGAGGTTCAGCAGGATGCTCCAAAAACTACAGGAGAAGGCAATCACCAAAAAGAAAGGCACCTCTTTTGCCAGCAACTTTCGAGCAACTTCTCTGTCTAAGCTGCGAAGGAAGTTCCAACCAGTTTCAAAGGACAAAGGAGTTCCGGTCACATGTCCTCGTTGCTTGGCTGCTTTTGTCACTCTTTCTGTGGTGGTGTACACCTCACCCACAAGGGACTTGGGCTTCACGAACTTGCCCGAGTCATTCTTGAACTTGTTGACATTCGGATTGCGCTTGTCATTCTCAGGGACCTCGGCGTTCACAAGAGCCTCATTCTCTGAGAAGAGTGCCTCATTGGAGCCAAGAAGGACGGAGGTGACAAACACATCCTTTTGGGCTTTCGTCAAGCAGTCATCCCAATCCATCTCATAGATCTCATTGACCTCTTTGGCACTGAGAGACACGAGACGGCGGTCTCGGCAGTGTTGATCCCAAGCTTGAGAGATCAACTGCGCTTGCCCTGGCTTGACGTCTTGACGCAAGCGCCATGGATTGGATGCCAAGTCACTCAAAGATCCCTGGGCGGAATCCCATTGGCGTTTCTCCACTCGAGGTCGTCCTGCTAGTAGTCGGCGTTCATCTGCTGGATCTCCGCTTGCGACCAACCATATTCGCCCTCCGGCATCTCTGCATCTGGACGGTCCCATCCTGACAACATCGGATGTCCGCACCAAGCCTTGGGAGCCGGCTGAGTCGTCACATGCTGCAGGACCTGGTTGAGCATCGTCTGGAACTTCTGATCTTGAGCTGCCATCAACTCGTGAACGTCCTGCACGGAGAGTGACTGCTGAGCGTCCAAACGACGGGCGGCTTCCATAGCTGGCGGTGCTGTTGAAGGCTTTGGCTTGGCCTTGACTCCGATCATTGGAGGGTCTGTGGAACTGGTTGCGCCCGTGTGGGACTTGGGCTTCTGCATCAACTCGTTCACTACTGGCTTGCAAGCGAGTTTCAGCTGCTCGATGGTCATCTTGGGCTCGACTGGGACCTGTAGAAGAGTGGCGAGACGTACAAGGTCGGCCTTCAAGGATGGCAGGCCTCCTTTCGGTCCAATCAACTGTCGAGCTGCTTCTTCTCGTTCTCCCTTCAGCGACAGGGTCTTGGCTTCGATCTGAGCCTCTTGAATGGCCTCTTTCTTCAACTGAGAGGCTACCCCCTTGTTGGCCCTTGCTGCAAGCATTCCTTGAAGCAAAACGTCCTCCATGAAGGCGAACTGCAGGCCCACTCGATTGCGAAACTGGCCAAGTTCCAGCAGGTTCTTGGCGGTGTAGACCTGGTTCACTCGACCGCGTTGCCAGTGAGAGTGCATGATAGCCTTTGGTTGCTGGAGGGTCATGGCGACCGCTTGGTCTTCCCATTGCTTGACATGCTGAATGCTTGGATAGGGGAACGGTGCATAGCGCAGCTGAGGCCGCTGCAGCAACCACAAGAGCAATCCATGGGCGCGCCAATCTGCCTTGGCGCGCAGGCGCAAAATCATGCGCCGCCATCGCCCGATCGTGCGAGAGGTCTCTTCGGTCATGTCGTGCACGATCACTGGAGAGGCCATCTGGTCCTTGGTCACTTGTCGTAGGTCTGCGAGAGGTCGTAGGGGATGTCGATGAAATCACAGGCGGAGTTTGAGCCACCTTCATAGCTTGAGCCATTGCCGACATCGAGCTCTCGGTGACCAGATGCTCATGGGAGGTTGTCGAAGGAGGTGCAACATCTTCAAAATGAGACAAACGAAACTGCAAACGCTTCTGCCACCACTCTAAACTGCTAAGTTGCATTTCGACAACACCATCCTGACCAAAACTACGCCATCTTTGAGTGCCCGGACATTTCCATGAGGTAGTCGGGCGCATCGGCAAGGTGAAGTGGCCTGCAGCAAGTTGACCCATGTCTAAGAGCTCTCCACCGTTCACGAGGTCAGCTCTAATCTTCTTCCGGGCGAACGACATCACGGCCCCGATCCCGGAGAGGAAATCACGGCCCAGCAATAGACCTAGGGATGCAACCGGCACAATGGATACCCAAACCACGATGAGGGTGCTTCCAACCATCATGGGCAACCGATACCGGACGTTGGACTTCTTGGTGCCGCCGTTGCCGAACCGGAACAACTCATCTTCGGGGACCTGCAAAACCAAATCTTGTACTGCTTGGGGTGCTTCTTTGAGGGATTCCAAATACCATCGAAGCCATGAACTGCCGGCACATGTACGATTGCACGCACTGTCCAGCGCACCAACAAAACGTTTGTCCGATGCCAAGCGAGGGTTCGGTGCAACAAGTTCGTTGGATTGAGCGAGCACTTCCGACAGGGAAAGCTGGAAGGTGTCTGTGGTCACCATCAACACTTCATGGCCAGTTGAGGCCTCTTCCAACAAAGGCTCTTCCGGAAGGTGCTCAGTGTTGAGTGCTTCTGTCACACGAACCTGTTTTGCTGCAGGAGGAGGTCCAATGCCTTTACCACGGCCTTTTGGCTTTCCAAGACCTGCTCCCGGCTTGCTGCATGCTGCGTCACCAGCCCAATGCCCAGGTTCTCCGCAATCAAAACACTTTGTGTTGGCTTTCTGTCGAGGAACCTGGTTGCCATGCGGCTTGGTCTTTGGAGCATAGCTGGAGGCTTTTCCATAACCTCTATCTTTCTTCACTTCAGCAATGCGGGATCTGGCTTCCCGCATCGTGACCAAACTTTCAGCGGCTTGCTCAAGACCGGACTCCAAATCATCCAGCATCGCCGGCTCACAACCCTGCTCCTCGAGCTCTTGGATCTCGCTAGCAAGGCATTCAGCTTCTGCTTGCAACACTTCTTCCAAAGACTGAGGGACAGGCGAACTCTCTGCCTCATCTGCAGGAATCAACTCGGCTTCTTCCTCCAGTTCATGCCCATTGAACTCATCGTCCTGGGGCTCAATCACCAACGCTTGTCGAGGTGGAGGACCTGAGTTGGGAAAACGTCGAAAAGGAGGTCTGCTGGAAGTTGATGAACTCTGAGTGCGGTAGGAACGCATCGAAGGCGTGGCTGAGCTTGGGGTCCTGTAAGAGCTGCTGCTGTTGTGAGACTGCAAGAACCGCTGCAACAAAGGTGCCTTGTCTGTATGAGGTTTGACCTTGTACAACGGGTCTGAGGTGTGCAGGTCACGAAACAACCTGAGGCATTCCGTCTCGACCTCATAGGTCTCTCGACCAGCAAGTGCAGTTTCCAACAGTTGCTTTCTAATTGGGTCCAGGCCCAATCTCTCTTTCAACATCCAACCCAGCTCTTCTTCAGGCATCACTATGCCTTCGCGTTTCAAATCCGCAGCCAGTGTGCGAAAGCGGGCGCAAAAAGAACTGATTCTTTCGCCTGCATTCCTCTACGAAGCTCACCTTTTCGATCCAAAGAGGACTTTCCAACTGTTGCTTCGAGCGCGGCCATGAGCTTGTGGAGACCTGCAAAAGGGTCAGCAGCGGTCAAAATGACCTTCTCTTTGGTGTCAGGGTCTTCCATGCTTTCTTCAACCGCTCCTGCCAACTCGGCAGGGTCAAATTCTTCACATCTAGCCCTGACAACTCCATGCTGCCTGAGTGCCCATCTTGCAGCGACGTTGAACTTCTTGCAACTCTCAACATCCAGGCTAGCGATCCACCAATTCATTTCACGGCGGAACTGCCGCCATTCGGCGGGGTTCCCCGACCAGGTGGGGACACGGTACCAACTTGAGGTACCAGACTCTTCAGCATTCGTGGCCATCTCTGCAAAAAGGGAGGCAAAGGCTTCGGCCTCCAAAAAAACTAAGTTCAAGGCAAGGTGCAAAGTGTGTTTGAGCTCAAAAGTAAAGGTCTGGGTTCTTCAAGCCCTGTGCGGTCGGCTTGCAAGAACAAGGAGCCTAGCTGCTCCAACAACGGAGGACACGGAAGAGGGTGTTCTCTCTGAAGGCCTAGTAGCCGAAGGAAAAGACAGTGAAGTAGCCAAGTTCACGAGTGAAAGGCTCTCAAAAGAAAAGGACAGTCCGAGCGTAGGAAAAGGGCAGGTAAGGTTCACACCTTAGTCCTCAGAGAACGCCCCTCGAAACACCGTCGAGAGAAGGTGCCCTGGTGAACCACGGTGCAAAGTTCTGACCGGCCGGCAAGTAGGAAAAGTCGGGAGCAAAGCGCAGCGGTGCAAAAGCGCAAAAGCGGCCCTGCAAATCGGGCTCCGGTGCCACTGTGAAAGCCCTCGTGGACAGGCTTTCAAGCGCCCCTTTTGGCCGAACGCGTAGCGATTTATGGCTGTAGGCCTATATGGCCGCATGAGTAAAAAGACATGCCTCAAGCCGAACGATCCGACACTGATACCAACCAGTTCACTTCACAATAATAAAGGTAAATTGGCATCAACCTATATACTGTCTGGTAGGAATGTCATGGAAGGTCCACGTGAAGGAGACTCTGATCAAGCAGTCAGGATTAAGGCAGTCTGCCATTGTTGATACAGGGTAGTCTCCGAACAATCGACGGGCAACAAAACTCCTACTGAATTTGTGAACTGACTGCGGTTCTCACTTGCACTTCATTTTGGCCAAGGACACACAAAGCCAGCGAAATTAGACTGACAGAGACACCTTTGTCTATTTGTCAGAGTCTGTCACATCATTTCGAGCTGACTGTCTAACACCCAACATCCGCCTGTCGCTGGAGCGACTGGCTTCCTTGGAATCGTCGTCGGCATCGGAATCATCAGGTTGTTGAAGTCCTGTGGCTGTGAAAAGGTTAGTCTGGCTTCTTGATCGAGAAACGTCGGAAAAAATGTGCTTTTAAAAATGCCACAGTTGAATCACATCCTTGCACCAAGAGAAAACACTGAATTTATATATCTGAATTTGTTCATCCTCGTGCTTCACCCAGCAGTCCAAAGTTTGGCCGCCAGTGCTGAATCGTGGACAAAATCAGAGGCTGAAACTGGGAAGATGTTGGACGTGGAAGAACCAATTGGGATCAATTGAGAAAAGAATATCTTGTTGCGAGTCGTGACCTTCGCAACTTCCCACCTGATCAACTCCAAAGCAGCGCTGTTCGCCCGAATGCCTGGAGAAAGTCAAGCACAAACACTTGGCTGTGCCTCGCCACTCGTTGATCAGCTCATGAGGCTCATGTTCTTCTTGGGGCATCTGTCAAAGAACGGGTAACCTGCTTGAGCGCCTAACACAAATCAAGCAGCTACCCTTTCACACCGTTTCACTAAGAATCTAGGTGTGCACAGTGCAAATGCGATTTCACAGAAAGAAATGTACCCAGATCAGGCACTGGCCTCTGCCAAGGCTCAACACGGTTTTTTGTTCTGCGACAGCAGTGGCAGCAAAGCCTGAAGCCACATCCAAAGGCCCGGATCATCATGCGGGGCTCATCGAATCCCCATTCTCAGAAATCCAATGCAGGCGATGCAAGGCAAACTGGGAACGGCTACTTCCCACTCCCAACCAGCAGCGCTGCTGAATAGCTATTTGGAGACTGCTACACAAAGGCCAGAAATCTATCAGAGCAACCGGCCTCTTTATCTCTGCAGGAGCTGCAGCACAACCTTTGACAGACTCATAAAGCTAGCTGTAAAGCTGATGCAAAGAAAGACTTCTTTGATGGTAGCACATCTCTTCAGCGGAAGGACCCCAAGCCAGCAATTTATATACTCAACATGGGCCAGGGCACAAGTTCAAAGGCAATTATACGTCAAGGTTTGCTACAGCCACACCTCAGTTTTTGTAAGTTGGTGCCCTCAAGTAACGCTGGACCATGTGTTTGATCGATCTCCTCAGTCTCGACCAAAGCCCATCCTCCCGAAGGAACACAAGCAAGCCTCAGACAGGACACGCCGTTGCAAGCAACATCCCAATCAAAAGGGACTTGGCTCTTACTAGTAGCTTCTTGCTCCTAGTAGCGATGCCCTTTGTTACTTGCAAGATCGACAGCTCAAGACTATCTAAGGGCCAAGCAAATGCAGTGGCTCTGGCAGGAGGCTATGCTAAAAGGCAGCAGCACGCAGCAAGCTAGAAAGATTAACAGCACTGTTGTGCGGAAGTGTGGATCTGCGGAAAAGTCCACTCTTCGGCATTCAACCTTGTCAGGAATGCTGCAGCATCCCAGTCCAGCACAAGACTGTTGAAATTTGACATCGTCTAAGTCTAAGTCGTATGGCTGGATTGCTGCTGTTCGACCGTTCCGTCTTCTAGGCCATTTGAAACAACTGGTGATACCTTGGCTACCTTTGCTACCTTGAGTTCGTGTTCCAATTCGTATGTTCACATTATCGTTGAAGTGCACTAGGTCCCAAACATGATGTGCCGGGCAAGAGTACGGAACGACCTCGTTGAAAATAAGCATCACCTGGGCAAAAGCATCCAGTCTTGCAACTCACAAACCGATCCCTGCTATTGAACATGTCATTTCCTGTGCAAGATCGGCTGTATCTCACAAAGAATCCTTAGTGCCAACGCTGCTTGGTACGTCCCGCTACTGAGGGAAGCACAAGGCATGCAATGCTGCCGAGCACGATCAGCACCGCCAATACCGCACAACCACAGGCAGCATGGCCCAAGAATTCGTGATCGCTGCCATCTGTGGGAAGCAAAGGCGGATCTTGCCTCAAATAACCATGAAACCGTCACTCTTAGGTTGGAAGCCATTGCTCTCAGGATGGAGGCCTCAAATAACGGCTCGAAAATTTGCATCCTACACCATTGGCCATTCCCAAGAGGGTATCTTGCCCTGCTTTTTGGATGTAATGGCAGGGTCGACTCTGCATTGGGAGTAGCAGGCCGGATGCTGAGAAACCGTCCAAGAGGCCTAGGACTTGCAACACTTGATTGCCTAATGATTCCGCAGACCAAAACTTAAGAAAAATTGGCTCTGCAGATATGGGAAATATGCGGACAACCATAGTTGAATAAAGTTGTTGTGATGGGTGATGGCTTTGTCGGTGGCCAGATTCGGGAAATTAAATTAGCGTGAGGCCACTTTTGGTTGTGCAATCTGCGACTAAGTCCTCACTAAACGTTGTTTTAACATGAGGAGCCATCCTTGCTCTTGCAACTTGGAGGCACTCACCGGTGTTCGAGCTTCCACTCAAAAACACAAAGGCGCGATCTGCAGTCAACTGAAAATCGGTACACGGGAAAACAAATCAGGGACCACACACCATCCAGAGTTCAAAGAAGGCCAAAGTGCAACTCCTCCGCGCTCAAAAAAACTCGAGGCAAGGCCTGACACAGGCTCCACCAGGTCCAGCAATACTGGAGAAAAACATTCTGTTGCAGGTCAGAACTTTCGAATCTCTCAGTGTAGACTTGCTCGTTTTCCTGTTGGCAAGGTGAAGAATCACCTTGTCGACAACAATTGAACTTTCTCACAAATTTGCAAAAAATGGGTGTGTCCTGGAAAAAATCAAACCTCTTATATACAGGGACCTGAGGTGGCGCCTTGCTTCAACTTGTGACTGGTCCAATCATCAATCCCCGTTCTTCCGCCTTTAAAAACTTACCGACCCTCGGCTTCTCTGCATCTTCTCCTCTGCCAAGCGGGCAATGTTCTCGAGCGCAAGATATTACAAGTGGCACAACTGCACCAATTGAGCAATCATTTGTTACTGCTAGTGGCTAGAAGCTACTAGGTTCAAGGGCCATCGCTAGTAGGTTGGAGGCCATTACTACTAGTAGCTAGAAGCTACTAGGTGTATACAGACAAATGTCACGACTTGATCGTTCTTCTGTGTGTGCCGGCCTCGTGCGACCAAAGAAACCAAGAAGATTAGGACGGGTCCCCCCACCAGCCCCAGGCAGGTCACAAGTCCTTTCGGTGCTGCACTCACCAAGGGTGGCAGCATGATGATCTCCTCAATCCGCACCTGAGAACTGAAGATTTCCAGATATTGATTGGGTGTGTATCAGAATACAGAGACCCCCAGCCACAGGATACAGCTGTCAATTTGTCCTCTTCCGAGGTCTCGGTTGTACACCCATTTCTTTGGCAGTTCCCACACCAAAACAGAAACCTTCTTGTGTCCAAATTCTCTAAACCCATGTCGCTACTTGTGTGTGTGTGTAACATCATAGTATGCATGTGTGTGCTTCTGAAGGTATGCATGCTAGCCGTGCAAATGAATTTTGGTACAATGATTAAAAACAAAAAAACAAAAAAAATAAACAAAATAAATATATATATAAAGAATAACAATAATAAGAATAGTAAATATATATATACATGCATATACGATGCATGAGAACCACCAAACACGACACACATTATCCATAACTGGAGCAAAGCCACATCGTAAGATTCAAGTCCTTCGTCACCTCCAGCATGCACCTTGTGCGGATTTGTGCAGAGAGTCTGCTGCACAAAGAAGCTGAGAAGTCTGGTTACAAACAATAATAATACTATATATATTATATATATAACATAACTATATATGTTGATTGTCCAAAGTTGTCGGATGCTCATTATGCATTCTTTAGCTCTAGTAGAAAAAGTAAAAGAACATCAATCACATTCACTTGCACCGTAAGAAGCGACCAAACACTTGACATCAACATGAGTCGCTGCTGATGATGCACAAACAGCAAAGCAACGCCGAAATCAGGTCATTTGGAAAGTCGTGAGAAAGGTGTTGATTATTCTGTGGGCAAAGCTGTCAAGAATAGCCAAGATGTTGAACGTGCTTCTGGCAGAGCCGCCAGGCAAAGTTGTGGGCTCCGACAAGCAAGCCATGGAGATGCCCCAAAGCAGGTAGCTCACTGCATCAACTCACTTACTCGATTGGTGTGTCTTTGGCGACAATTCAGAAAGCCATGGACACGAGTAACACTAGATTGCAGCACAATGTAGTTGCCTTCCCTTGAAAAGGCACTTGGAAATAAGAAAAGGAAGCCCACATTGCAGGCGCTTTGCACCTAGAATCTAGAAGCTCCAGCTACAGCACCATGTTGTTTGATCAAGATGGCAGAGCGTGAATTCAATGCCTGCACTTGGAGATGCGGAGAATCAGGTGAATGAAGGGGTCAGTTCTCTGACCACGACCAGCCAGACTTCAACATCATGGTTCTGCCAGTAATCCACCATCTTTGGCATAACGTGAAGGTGGAAATGTGCACTGCACTGCAAATGGTGCTTGACCATAAATGGATACCTTCGCTGCAACAACAACCGTAATCGCAACGACCAGGAGAAGGACAACAAAACCAAGAGCGAGATCACAACTGAGGAGAACAAATGTCTGTTAGTGCAAGCAGATGCAAGCAGAAAGATTCAAAGCAATCCGAAGTGCTAAATGGCTTGTTGAACACCTGATTGCTTGTTGTAAGAGTTGGAAATCATTGAACATGTGCTCACACATCAATCAATTCCAAGATTGGTAAGATCTATGTAAATAGTTGCTGGATTCATCTTGTCGATTCACAGTGCTGCAAAAAGAAGAGACATGTTGAGACGTGGGAAAGGGCTGTGCACGATACTTTCCAAACCTTTTGAAGGTCCCATTCAAGAGTGGAAGATTAGACAATTGCCTCTCACTACTCTTTTCGGCTCGAGCCCAACCAGAATTTGAATTCCTCACGCAACCCGTAAATTCTATGCGGTCTTTCGGGGAGGACATTTTGTGCGGCCAGCGGCTGTTTCCTTCTCTCCAGCTGCAAATAACATGCCATCAGCTCTGCTGACGAAGAGGCCTACTTGAGCACTCTCCTGTTCCCTCCGCTCGGTCAACTGGACTTGGACTGACCTACATGTGTTTTATTTCTTTCTGTGTCCATTCTTGCTCTTGGAGGAAATCAAGACACGGAGATTGATGGCTTATCAATTCTCTTCATCTAATCTCATCTCCGATGGTTTGTGGATGCGTTTGCGCAACGCACCTGTCTGATCTTTTGGGTCAATTTATGACATGAAGCATCATGAACCCTCTTTGGTGGGAAAACTTTGGAACGCTGAAAGCTCGCTCTTCGAGCCAGTACTTCGGCATCAGATCAGCTCGCACAACAGGCACAGGGTACAAAAATGAAACTCAATTCTCGTCAGTTGTCAGCCGGCAAACAAGCGATTTGCAACTGTGGTGAATTCTCGTTCTTTTCGGCCCTTTTCCGCACACCCTGCCCCACTTGCATGTCAGGAGTCCAGCATGCTTCCCACATTTCCCGCGTGAAACTATTCCCAATGCTAAATACACTGGGCACAACCCTCGAATAAGAAAAACTCGATAAAGCCGCTTGCTTTGGATTGCCAACTGACTTGCTGCCTCAGCATTTTGTTCTGCGTCTGAAGAAATCCTGTGCAGCGTGACCAAGGTGTTTCTGCATCTTCGTATCTTCCGGTATCTGCTCAACAGTGTCCAGACCATAGAACTCTTTTCTACAAAGACAAAAACGCAGAGATTCTGGATTCCGCAATTTCGCCAAGCCAGCACTTGGCAGCGAAGCACCAAACGTTTTAAAGCTAGGTTGTGATCATGTGATCCTTGCTGCTACGTTTTGTTCCACCACAGGGCTTATTCCGCAAACACTCGGCAAAGGCCTGACTTGATTTTTACTAGGCTAGGGCTAGGGATAGAGTTTTTCTAATTCTGCACTGGTAGGTCTACACCAATGACAAAGCTGAAAAAATAGTAACGAACTGCAAAGCAGAGCAAAGCAAGGAATAACCATTAAAAAGAAGCTACTAAGACTAAGACCTATCAAAAGCCCTGCCTTTAGCGCTGCTTCGCCTTGAGCAGCACATCTGACCAACTCCTTGCCAGCCGCTTGGGACAGTTCTTGGAATGTTGCTTGAGCAAACTGGACAAAGGAACTGAACTTGAGGCATATGTTAACGGATTTAAGCTAAGAATAACTCAATAGTTAATTCTTGAACAGCATGAATTGTGTGAGGAGCATATTAGGAATGCTGGGAGTAAACACAGTTGGTCTTGCTGTGGGAGTTTTGTTTGAGAAATAGATCTTCGAAAAGAGACCTTCCAAATCGCCAGTGTTTGCGGTTTTGCAAACACCAAGATCCAAAGAATTGAATTGAGAGACAATTGTCCGTTGCCCGCGCTGGGGTGACGATGGGTGACGGTTGGCGGTTGCTCCTCGAGTGGAACACCAAACACCCTGCCGGCTCTACCCGACTCTACCCATCTGGTCACAGCCTCAAGGTCACTGCAGTCTTCAAACTCGGCAGAGCGTTTCCGCGCTTCAGCCAAGACCTGCCAGGCAGTTGCAATCTGTTCGGCAGCAATCCGTTACGCAACTTCAGCCAAGACCCCATGGAATGGCCACTGCGTGGCAACTGCATGGCAACTGCGTGGCTGAAGGTGTCATGGAGCTTGCTCAAAAACCCTTGCTTCTTCTTGGTGGTCTTATCCGTTTCACTTGGTGGTCTGCTCAGCTTAAGTGTTCCTCCCTGGCCATCAAAAAGAAACAGCTCCCTGTAGAAAATCTGATCAGTCTCCATAAAACCTTCGCACAAGGAATGTCTAAAAGGTCTGAAGGTGCTTTGATTTGATGAGTTTGATATGTACATATATATATATATGTATGTATATAAGGTCGCCACATAATTATCTCACCCTTCCCTCATCTGTTCATTCATTTTTTCGGCACCTTCTCCGGCAAACCTGCGATTTTGGCCACGTTGTGGCCATGGGATGCAGGACAAAGCCCAGGAAGGAATTTGTAGAGGAAAGTCGTCTCATTCGTCTGCTGGTTGACCGAAGCAGCCATATGAAATGGGGCAACCTTAGACCAAAAGACTACACAATCCGCCAATCCCGGCAACGGACTCTGAGGAAGTGACTCTTGTGGTGTCCTCCACCGCCTTTTTGGAGACTGGATGATAATGTGTTGCAAATAGGACCTGAATGGATGGACAACAAAAGTTGGAGGCCGTCTCTAGTAGGTCACACTGAAGTCCAGCAGCTCATGACGGCTTAGCATGTCGAAGGAATGAAGGGTCCCAATGGACAACACATCTTTCGTGAGTTCATCAAGTTGGAATCTCGGTTTGCTGTTGAGGGACAGGTATTACTACTAGTAGCAAGCGGCTACTAGGTTGGAGGCCGCTATTAAGTTGGAGGCCATTACTACTAGTAGCAAGAAGCTACTAGTTAGTTGCTGTTGAGGGACAGGACAGCACACATGACTCTTAAGCTCCGTCAACACTGCGGAAGCAATAGCCGCACCATCAAATGTAGCAGTCCCACGCCCAAGTTCATCCAGCACCGCCAAGCTCCGAGGGGTACCATGTTTCAGCAAGGCTGCAGTCTCCTGACAATAGCAGGGTCAAAACCTACCGACTGGACTTTCGCTTCAACCATACATCCCACTTGAAAGGTCTCAGAGTATTCGTCAAGCCTTTCTCGCTGGAATTTGAACCATCCCGGGCAGCCCCATGTCCTCCAGCTCAGTAAGCAACCTCGGTGGCGTGCGAGCCTCCATGGTTCTTGCACTTTGACCTTTCGAGGCTTCTTCCACACGCAAGTTTGTGGCCCCAACATGCCCCAACTACTGTTCTTTTGCAACTCGCCTCGTTACATGAAAGTCAGAGTTGTAGCCCTGGCACAAAAAGCTGACGACCCTACAGTAGTGTGGCTGGAAGCCAAGTTGAAAAAGGGAATCCTTGAGGAGTTCTTTTGCATTGCATACTACCAAGTCAAATCCCATGAGCAGCCTATCAGAGTAAAGTCACCACATTTGCAAAGAGTCACCCAGAAAAATCACAATGGGCAGACACAAATCCAGACTCAACAAAACAAGTCATACTATCATGCACTATCATGCCATTTTTTGCAAAATGCTTGTTCTAGGTGGGTCGCTCCAAAATCCAGCAAGCGAGCCATGTTGTACAAATGCCATGGTAAGCGGGAATTCTGTCATGTTGCACGGGTTTTCAAAAAAGGTTGCGGATGGGGTATCTGTCATGTTTTGGTTTGCATCGCATCCCGCTGTCAAACTGTCAGGTTGTCAAATCAATTCTATTCGTTCTGATATAATACAGTAATACAGTAATACAGTCATTGAATTAAGGAGAATTGATAAAGGTGTCATTGTTTGACCGTGACCGTGTGCTTAAAATTGGGGGTGCATCGATACGTACTGTAATCAAGCCCTCTCGAATACCAGATTGTCCAAAAGCCTTTATCCTGGTCACAGTCCCACGGCTGATTTCCATTGTTTGGAGCCAAGCGACGTGCTCTTTCCTTCTAGCACAGCATCATAGGCACCAATACGTGTGAAAATGCGCTTCACAGGGCTGAGCTTGCACTTCTCCGCATTGACTCTGCAACCAAGTTGCGCCATAAGTACTGCCACGCAAGTCTGCCGCAGGACGGTGGACTTGCCACCCATATTGGGCCCAGTCACAATCAAAATGCCTGGCCAGGGGCTGCTAGCGTCCAAGCAAGAGGATTGTAAAGGCCATCACATGATCAAAACTACCAGTAGGAAGGGGACTGCCAATGATGTGTTTGATTTGTAAGAGATTATGTAACACGTGTAGCGCAGAAAGCAACAAAAACTTCGGCTTTGAACAGCGTGTCCTGGCACACCACAGGAGTTCAGCAGCGTGTCATTGGGGACAAAAGCGTTCCCCATTTTGCTTGCCACAACTGGATGCCGACAGCCCCGAAGCTCAATGCAAGCAGGCTCTGAAGCATCTAGTTGCACCAGTTCTGCTTTACAAGACGCACCACTCAGATTCCATGACGCAAATGCCAATGACAGCAAGGCATCCACTTCAGCCACACATCTGATAAGTGTACGAAAAGCAGCCTGGTGTGAGTGAAACTCCCGGAAGAGCTTCGAGAGGAAAGGAAAAATGCAGTCCTCTCGCTCGTCTTCCAAATGTTCCAACTGCGCAATCAACTCCCTGATCTTGGGCGTATAAAAGCGAAGTTTACCTTTGCTTCGGTAGGTGACGTCCAGATTCTTTGCGTTGGATCCAATCGCCTGCTCATCACACTCCACTTCATAGCGGTAGCCAGGAAGTCGGTGCATGAAAGAAAAACCCACCTGCAAGTCATTCTAATCTTGTTCTTTTGATATCCTTTAATTAGTTGTGTTTGGTACACTGGAATTGAGTTTGCACAGTTAAATTGATACTGTAACGATCACAGGTTCGCCCGCAAACATGGACAATGAAGAGCCATCAACAGGCGTCACGCACACTCGTCGTGGGATGTGAGGAGGTCAAGTGTGACAGCTGACAAAGTAGTTCGGCATTTGGAATGGTTGTGGTTGCTCAACAGGTTGTGCAAGCAGCATTTGCCAACATATGTTACTTCGTTTGACATGTATATTGTATTGGTTCCGGTTTTTTTTCCTCGATCCGGGGTTGGGTTACGAGGCATTTGGTCGAAACAAGATGCTTGAAAGTTGGGACCCCTGATCAAACTGGGAAGCGTGAGCTGACGTGTGAGTGTGACCCTTGAGGAGTACATGCATGCATACATACATACATTACATTACATTACATTACATTGCATTACATTACATTACATTACATTACATTACATTACATTACATACATACCTACATACCTACAAGGAAGACGCTTGAAGCCAACTTGTTGTTTTCTTGACATGTCAGTTACTTCAACCATACTGTATGACCGATATGATTGACGGTGTCGCTAACTCAACTTTGACCTGTGTTTTCCGAGCTTCAAGGACACATACTTAGGAGGTTCTGGGCTTTGCTATCATCCTATCGCTCCACACTCCCAACTCATTTCTCAGTGTGTGTGTGTGTGAGTGTGTGCACCTCTTGGATTCACAGGTTACCTTTTGGTACGATTCTTGTCTTTTGCTTTTACAGCAGGGGGTGCAAAGCATATCCACTTGTGCTGGAAGCAGAGCCTGGTCAGCTCTGTGTACCTGTTACGTTTTGACTGTCACTCCCTCCTGGGCCCCCCGTTTGCATTTAGAACAATGCGCATTAACGGACTACTGCACTTGTCGTCGCTTGTCGAGTTTTGAACCTGAAAACCTTTAAACTCTTTGAGGTAGTCAGACCGCTTTACATGTTACCTGTTTTACTCAGGCACATTGAGATTGTCACCTAGGCTTGCGAGTTGCATGAGGCACCCATGAATGTACAGTGGATGCACAACTATCCTCCACCCAGGATGCCCAACGTTCACATCGTTCACCGTGCAACACGACAAGGAGGAAGAGCTGCCTTCTAATTTGTCACACCCACCTTCGGATATCGTTGACGGACATTCTGCAGTTCTGTATCCAGCTCAGATGTTACCATTTCAATCTTCCTGCACTTGTCATCATAGACAGCGTCAGCACCGTCTTGTGGCCTCCAGAGCACGTCGGCGCCCATGCAGAGTCTGCTTCAAAACATCCGGTGAAAGCTTCTTGTTTCTAGTAGCGATGCACTTGTTACTAGTAGCGATGCTTCTGAAGCCACTTGGAAAACTAGAAGCTAGTATCTTCTTTCAAGGCGCCTATACTTCACTCGTCCTTTTTCATTGGATGTCTCGACAAGGCTGCCCTTTAACCGGACAATGGTCGGCATCAGTTCCTTAATTCATTCAAGCGAGCGATCGGTATGAAATGGCATGAATAAAGTAGATAATAGGATTGACTGAGTCTGGAAATCAAACCGCCGTGATGAAGAACCCAACCGGCAACTTGATGAATCAGATCAGGTCCACCAATGTAGTCGATGTATAGAGTCTTGTAAGATTCTTCCTGATCCACAAGCATCACGAAATGCCGGTTGCGTAAAAGCGTCTGGTAAGCTTCCACCATTCTTCTGTAACCGTGCCACTCTGGCCAAACGACCAGGAAGTGCTGCTGGCAAAGCAGTTGTCAACAAGTTGTAGCACATTTCAAAGGCCTTCAGAAAAACTGCAACTGAGTGAACATGACATTCCAATGGCACCAATTACATTCATCTTCTGGGCTTCAGAAGCCTTCCAAACACAATCACACAATCAGTCCCCAATGTGCTATCATGAAAGTCATGAAACAAGTTGAACACATTCATCCTGCTTGATCCTGCTTCCATCATGTGTGGCATCCTGCTTGGAGCGCAAGAGAACTGCCTGCCGCCGTGCCTGCATCAACTCGACGAATTGTCCCAAACGCCGAGCGGTCACATCCTTCGACAAGTATCTCTGATGGCATCTGTCGAAGTACAAAATCGAAGTACTGAGCTGTCTCCCCATCTCGCTTTCTCTTTTTGGTTGCTCCATCTTGATTTTTTTACTTGATTGCTTAATTATTTATGTGCTTTCTCTTACTTCATACACACTTTCAGTCAAACGCGAAGGCGCAAAAGTATCAAACATTGAGGTGTCCTCGTACAGGACTGCTTTGCGCTCCGCTTGCAACGCATAGCTCCAAATTCGTGACGTGGCCCTCTCCAAATCCACCGGTATCTTGGCACCTGAAAGGCATTTCCTGAGAGGCCACTTTTCCGCACCAAGAATACAAGTAGAACCGGAAAACTGACTGTTGCAAACATGGAAAACTCAGTTGAAAACTTATGAAGACAATTGAAGACTTCTTTCAGTTGGGTTGTGATGCCCAACCGCTGGCGGGCACCGTTCTCTGTGGAGAGCAAGGGATCCGCTGACCCGGCCAAAAGGGATCCTTTCTCATGTTTTCTCGATGTCACTTTACAAGAGCTCAGAAGGGGTATTGAAGCCTTCCGGCGTCGGTTGTGATTCATTTCGGCACAGCATCAGTCAGAATCAGATGCTGCGCTGTCGCGGAAGGTGTGGTTTCTATGTTTGGAGGTCGCGTCTAGTCTCCAGTGGTGTGGTCCACGGTCCTTCCTAGGAGTGCAGGCTGCTTGAACGACAACTGTTGAAGACAGTCAGATCGAATTATTGCCATACAGAACAGGTCAATGGCGTGGGACGCCAAGATGCGTGTACACACTGGGCGAAGCACGCCCAAAACTGATTCAGGGTTACAGCAGCTGTCTGCACAAAAGTTTTGCGCTTGAGGATGCCAAGGTAGGTCCAGGCATTTGTCTCGCAATGACTGCCCGAAGTGGCCCCTGCGTTTGCAAAAAGACTCTTGACTCCTTTTCCCAGCCATACCCCGCACTGACTTCAGTCATATAATGCAGGGCGTTGGCGTAGCCAAAAGAAGCCGTGGCATATTTACATATCAGAAAGTTCGAATGATTGAGGGCTGCATCATAAATTTGTGAGTCTTCAGCAACAGTTTCTGTGTAATCATAACCACCTAAAATATGTTCAAATGTATGTTTTTTGGCGTAATGCAGCCAGTTTTGTCTCGGGCGACCGACTCGTTTTTTTCCATAAGAAACTCTTGACTCCTGCCAGCTGCAATGCACAAAAAACAATACAAAATAATGTCTGACAAAGTAGAGTGAATTCACACGAATTCAGTAGATGATTCGATGATGCTTTTTGTCGCAAGCTTGGGGATGACAGTATGACATATGAACGACATAAGAATGACACGTGCTTGGCCGATGACACATCCTCGGCGGCCAAGAATCTTCAAAGATGTGCGTAGCTGATGTGAGAGGTCACCATGCTGAATGAAGAATTCAACAGCGTCCTGCCTCTGATGTATGTCATCCAAATCGTAAAGCGGGGCACAAACCCATTGTCTCAAGAGGCGGTATCCCATTGGAGTGCTTGTATGATCCAGAAAGGAGAGCAAGGACCCATCGTGGCGGCCTTCTAGCGTCTCAACAACTTCAATTGCTGAAAGAGCTGTAGCATCCAACACCATTCTCTGTCCCCCACCAGCATTCCCCGAGCTGCCCAGGACCGTCCAAAGCGCCACTGGCAAAAGTCGATCTGCCAGCAAACCTGTTGCCAAATATTCCATCAATCCTGCAGCTGCAATGGCCGCACTGTCCTGCAACGGCTGGTGTTTTAAAAGATGACAAATGATGGCAGAGGCTTCCTAGTCCTAGCAGCTCAATAGGAAAAATTAGGGTTTTCGGATCTCAAGTTCGCTTGAGCCGGCTTCCCCGACTTTCTCAAATCAACACGGCGCAGTCCTGCAACAAAAGAGCTTCCACTTCCTCGTTGAACACAGCATGCGCTGCATGCTCTGCCCGGTACTTGCTCAATCGATTCCTGGCCGCTAACAGCTCACATTCACCAGCGCGGACAACGGACAGTTGTGGGCGGTAGGGCAACTTCCTCAAGAAATTCACTACCTCGCTTGGCAAATTGCCAACATCATATACAACTTCACTGGGTTGCACCTGGGCCAGCAATGTCCGAAGCACATTTCGATCAGGGCCGTCAGTGTATCGACCAATTTGTATTTGCGACGTGGCGCAGTCGACCAAGCACAAGGCAAAATCCAGTCTTTTCGGGCTATGGTCGAAATGCAAGTATGCGAGAAAGCGAGCGCCAGGACCCTCAAGAAGCTCTGGGTCAACCAAAGTTCCACTTGTGAAGATTTCACAGGGCGCACGCTCCACGCAGATAGGTGCTGAACCTTGCTTTCCCTGGGACTTTCCCTCGTTTTTCCTCTGATTGGTTTCAACAACCCGTTCCACCTGCTCCACCACAACCACTTTGAAACCGGCTGCAAGGATTTGCTTAGCATACTCATGCTTAGCCATTTCTGGAAAGCCCACGTGAGGTTTCTTATCTTGACTCATCCATTTGAAGCCACAGATTCGCTGGGCAATAAAGGCATCATAGTAGAAGATCTCATAGAACTTCCCCACCTTGAAAAATGCAACCTTGTCAAAGTGTGCAGATTTCAGCTTCCAATACTGCATCAGCATTGGAGTGTTATGGCCCTGTGCATTCTGGTAAGCAGCCTTGTCGTGGATGGGGTCGGGTACCCATAAAGTGCTTGGGTTGTAGCCAGGATCAGCGGGACGCAATCCCTGAATGTCTTTCAAGTTCTCAGGCTTCAACCAAAAAGGCCAACTGTACTGGGCACCACCAGTTTCAAAATGATGAAAGCATTCAGCCACGAAAGCTGGAATCGAACCCGGCGCACACGTTTGAGCTCGCTGCAAAGTTGCCCTCAAATCCATCGGCTCACCCGTCGGTTCAGCTCTCACTTCCTCCTTGGATCCCTCTGGTGATTGGACAGCTGGTGGGAAAGCCCCTACTACAGCTTCGGTTGAGGCGTTTGTCACCAAGTGCTTCTCCTGCGGTGATGCTTCTTTGATTTTCTTGGTTTGACTCTCTGGTTGCTTCATCAGGAGGCGCTTTCTGGACTGCACAGAAGGTGGAGTGCTCATTCCATCTGCATTTATGCCTCGATGAAATCAAATATTACTTACATACTTCAAGCATCTGAAGAAACTCAAGTCTATTAAGTCTCCACATTCCCTTCTAAGCTGCTGAACACAACACATTCGCATGGGTCAAGCACCCAAACAAAGCAGCACTTTTACCGGGTCACTCATCTCAGGTTTGGGCTCAGTGATCTTTTGGGCTGGAGTTTGTGGCGGTGAGCCCGTCTCTTTCTTGCAAGGCGCAAAAAACCTTGCGATTGGCGATTGTGCCACCATGGCTTCTAAATCACGTGCTTCGTCCAGAGTGCGTTCTTGTTGGGACACGCCTAACTACTGAAACAATTCAGATGACATGCCTACAATACGCCGATGCCACTTGCAACCCTTTCCAAGTATGTGGATGTTGCAATCCACCCTCATGGTCATGTGCAATGTAGGCTTGTTGACAATGCGTGGGCTGGCTAGTAGCACAGGCCTGTTGTGATTGGTCCACCTGATATCAGAGCTGCGACAAAACTCTGCCAGAATCACCTTGACGTTCAAGCCGATCGTTGGAAAGATAAAAGGGACTCCTAAAATGGAGAGCAGGCTTGACTCCTAAATGATCCCAAAGGTCTGCGGAAGTGTGGTTGGAAAGGGAATGCATGCCAAGCCAGCAAGTTGGAATCTCTGATTCTGGACCCACAACCTACCACATCCGAGATCAAGAAATTGTCCTTGAGACAGCTTCCTGTACTGCTCAAAAAATAAATATCCATGTCTTGCATTTTCTTGCTGCCTTTGAGCAATTGTCTCCTCTGCTCAGTTGCTCTCAGTACCGGAGCTTCCCTGAGTACTTGCAAAATGCATTGGTGCGATGAGTAAAAAGATCAAAAAAAGGGGATGCACACATGGTCTGGGAAGTGTTACAGTCATAGGAAAGACAAAGAACTGAGGAGGGTGCAGAGGTAAAGTTCGAACGTCTTCGGTGGCGATGTTTCTTCACAGAGCTTGTGAGGGCTGTCCAAGTGAGCGTACGCTCCTGCTGCAAGCAGTGATCTAGATAGAGGCACAGCAGAAACTGTTTCAATGCCAAGTCAGGCCGATCAAATCGGAACAAGAAAAAGGGCCAGTCCCTCATCGTCACAGAGACTGACCTCACGGCTTGACCGATCACTAAAGCGCATACTTAGAGGTACAGCTAGGTCAAGGAAGACGTCAACAGTCAACTTGGAAGACTTGGTTGATCTTAGATCTTGGATGAAAGTCTTGTGCCAACAAGGTTGTACTGATTGTTGACTGCCATGTTGCCTGATAAAGCGGCAGCCCTTGCGAAAGGATCGCAATGTCTCTTCACTGAGCAGAGGGCAACCTGCAGTGCTGGGACGACATGGTGCTCAATGCTTTCTACATGACGTGGTGCTCCATATGTCGAGTCATGGATCGCAATGCTCACTGCAGACTGCTTGACTTGCTGTCCCCCATGCGCACCTCGTATATCAACATTTTGTGCATCATGGAGAAGTTCTGCCAAGGCCTGTGAACTGCTGTGGCCGGCAATTGTAATGCTTGAGTAGATGAGCAGCCAAGCATGTAAACTTGGAGCAAAGCATCACAGGATCTGTCTGAAAGAGATCCGGCGCCAGCAAGTGAAAAGTACGTTACCTGAGCAGGTCGGCACAGAGGACAAGTAGTCATCGAGGGACTCAAAAGACTGGGTCCTTGAGTTCACTGCCTAGCCAAAAATGTCCAAGAGGATTCTATCGGTGTGACTGTGGGCTCTTAAGAATCTGGTCATCCACATACAGTACATACTTCTGACTCAAACAAGGCTAGGCCAAGCAGCATCGAACCACAACCTTCTGCGAATGGTAGTTTGAAACTAGAGCAGTGGATTCGGAAACTAGTGAGGCCGCGAATTCGGAAACTTGGGACGCAACGGATTCGGCAACTAGGGAGGGTGTGGATTAGGAACTAGGAAGAGCGTGGATTCGGAGACCTGCAAAATAGCAAAACGGTCAGATTCAGAAGCTCGGGGCCCGGGTTGGGAAGACAGGAAGGTGCAGGATTCGGAACCGACCAAGGATTCAGAAACTAGGATTGGGAAACTGGGAGGCAGGAATTGGAAGTCTAGGCTGTCCAAGGACTCAAAAACTAGGATTCGCAAACTGAGGCTCGACCGACTAGATTCATTCGGAAACCAAAACACAGAAACCAGAATGACCCAGGATTGCGACTTGGATTTTGAATTCAGGCCGCGTAGAATCAGGAGACCAGGTGTAAGGCCTGGGAAAGAGTATGAAACGCATGTTGGGCAACAAGATCGTTGAGAGAACGGACCAAAACTTAATCATGGATTCATGGAACTGCCGCCCCTGCATCATGCTTGTGTTCCAATGCAGTGATGTGCTGAGAAACATCCGCGTTGTTTGTCTCTTCATTTTTGTTTCCTCCCCTCCGCAGTCCATCTCTTCAGGACTTGCGGCCAAGCGCTAGAGAGGCAACTAGGAAGTTTATGTATCAAAAAAAATTGGGGTATGTTAGCTGCACAAACGATTTGGTGGGTCTGTACCAGATGCCATGTTAATGTGATCTGGGCTGGGGCAAAAAGACAAAGACTGAAAAGCAGGCACCCCGATATCCAACTTACGCTCAACCCTGATTCTGAAGCAGCCAGTTTCTTAATCGGCCCAGTTTCTGAATCTGAATGTACGCAAGTTTCTGAATCGGAGCCAGTTTCGGAATCGTCTTGTGTTCAGCACCATGATGTCACGAGGGCTCTGAGGTAGAGACGGACCGCAAGGCCACGGCAGCTGAGTTCCGCAAGTGCTGCCTATTAAGTCCAGCATGTTTGCTAGTAAAATAAGTGGATGCTTCAACAATGTTAATCCCCTGCAAAATGAATCCAGCCAGAAAATGCTGGCCCCTCAACCCTGAGCCCATGCCTTTTCCTTCGCACTGGCATAGATTCTGGCCTAATCACGAGATCGCCAATTCCACCAAGCAAGTGGACAAGGCACCCCAAGCACTTGCAATCTGACCAACTGAAAAACAACAAGGATGTACTCTGGAACGAAAGCTTGAGGCCAGCGGTCATCAAAATCACAAACAGATTGATAGAAACCTCTTACCTCCAATAATACGTTTTTCCTAGCTTTCGGGCAAGTTCTATTGACTCACTGAATGACTTGATAATGGAAATACCTTTAGAAGAAAACATTTTCCATTGACTGAGAGGAGCAGGAAGTTAGAGGATGTCAACCAACGTCAAGTACCTTGAGTTTGGACTTGGTCTCCGACAATTCACAAGGCTTCAGCTGTGTCCCGGAGAAGCTGCGGTTCAAAGATGAGAGCAACACCTTTGCGGTGTGTTTCGGCTTCACGCGTAGAACAAATTGTGTGAGCCCTGAACAAGGTCTCATCAATTCTACATTTTAGAAGAAAAAACTTATTGGAAGCTGTGTGTGGAAAAGAAAGACCTCTCTCCGAAGACTGGGAATCTCTGACTCCTTGGCACTTGTGGCTACACAAAATATTTTACCTTAAATCTCGTATATATAAGGGGTCTGTGAGACTGGCATCTTTGCACTGCTTCACGACTCTTCTGTGAAAGATTACTAATGCTGCCTGAGGCCAGACTGGCCTGGTCAAGCTGCCTGACTGCAAGAGCTTCGTCACGGTCCCTGTTGCACCACCTCAAGAAGAGCATGTCACGTCGCCGAGAAAGAGTCGAGCGAGGCCAGCATGCGGAAACAGCTGAAAAACAGTGCGGCAGCTCTCCAGCTCTGCAGCTCGGGTCGGGCGAACAAGTGCGAAGCGCCTAGGGAAAAGCCCTTCAGACACTGCGCAGTTGCGAAGAGCCTTGACATGACAATCAAATAGAGGATGACCCAAAAACCAGTGGCTAATTATCAGCTATCAAAGAAACTAGGATCTCAAAACATCTTTACTCTTTCAATTCAGATGTTCATTGAGGAATGGACCAGGGTCTGGAGCAGCGTGCGACCGGAGAGGATGGTCTGACCACCAATCATGATTCCAGTTCTGCTGGACAAGTTGAAGTTGTAAGCCATGCCTCCAACTGACCATCTTGAAGACCACTTCCTACCAAGAATAGAACATGTGCAGTAATTAAGTACGATCTGTTCACGGAGCAGCGAACTCATTGCCTGCAGAACACCAGAGGGACAAGGAGTTCAAGCGGCTGAAAAGAGGCAATGCCTTCAGTTGGCGAAGCTTAGTTCAGCTTTGGCCACTGGTATCATTTCCGCCATGAGGTGTGCACCAATGAGTCCACAACTGGCTTGTGCGACCTGGAGAACTTTGAAAAGCCAAGCGCTTTTCATGCGCACAGCACACTATGCATGAATATGTGCCAGGCTCACCGTGAAGATGCATCGAGTCGAAGAAGCACTAGGCGGCTGCAGTTTGCACCAATTGAACTCAAGGCCACCTGCGGTGTTCTTTCTTTACAAAAGCACTTGCAAAGAACAAGATTCCTTTGTTGCTGAAGGGATAGAGTGGCCGGATGCAGCACAAGGATGCACAAAGCGAAGACACGAAACAGTATCAATACAGCATCCATTCAGTCTGCGCACTTTCCACAGCCTTCAATACAGCATCTGCATCCTTGTCTGGAAGGGTCACTGCAAGCTGCTCGAGCACTGGACAGTTCGATGCAACAGCCTGCACAACACAAAGGGCTCAAAAACCCATGAATTGTGTGCAAATGTGTTGCACCACGCACCTGCCCGCAATCACGCACACTACAACATGCAGCCCAGAGAAATGGCAAACTTGCAGGTGCCCCCGATTGTTGCCAACAACCAACCAGCATACCTGATCCTCTCTTTCAAGACACAAATGCCTCCAAAGCAGCAGCATAAGCGATGTCTTTGATGCCATCCAAAAGCAGTTGCTCCAATGCATGTCCATACAAGGCGACCTTTTTTGGACAGAGGATTCTATCTGATAGAGAACAATCTGATAGATCCGTGCCGGTTGCATGAGTCTCTGTGGTTCCCACGATGTTCTTCAACGATGCTGGTGGAGCCTAAGCAAGGTCACGGTCCTGCTGTCTGTCGCAAAAAAGGCTATCATTCGGCATGAGGATATTGCAAAAACGGCCTTCTGGGTTCAGAACCTGTGCGTTGGAACCTTCCTAACAAAGACACTCATCTTTCTTGAGCAAGAAAACTTGCTTTGGCAAACGTGGCCTGCAAAGTTGCATCATCCCCTGGCGTCATAGGCTCTTCTAGCGAGTTGGCTTTTGGGTGTTCTCACGGATTTGAAAAATCTGTCCAGTGTGTTGGTTCTCAAGCGTTCTGAGAATGCAACATTGCCGCGGTTTTGGAAAATGTAAGAAGGAAGAGCGATATGGGGCGCACGCTAGGCTTCACAGCCAGGTATGTTGGGCTTGCAACATCCTGGTGTGTCCTGGTGTGTCAGCTTGCTTTTTGTGGGTTGGGAGCCACAGCTTGGATGTGTGGTGTTTACAGCAGGCTGGCAGGCTTCCGTTGGGGCCGGCGTCGTTGGTGGAGCCTGGCCTCTAACAGAATCTAACATAGATAAATGGTTTTAACAGGCATTGGGTACATAGACATAGACCTTGCAGGGTTGCGCTGTGGTTGAGGTGGGAACTATACAAGCTCTGGGAAAAGAGGAATGCCGTGCTTGCCTGCCCTTGGGGGTTGCTGGCTTGCATGCTTCACTACCTTCCTGTCAGGTGCCTCTGCTGCCAGCTAGCTCCTTGCTTCACTGCTTCCTTGCCTTCTTGACAGCAACAAAGCAACTACAACTCCGAAGTTGAATGTTGCTTGTTGCTGTCTGCGATCGCCGCGTGCGAACCGTTGAAAAGGTTTGGGCTTGGTCGGCTTGGGTGTGATGGCGGATGGGCCGCTGACGGCAGTGCGAGCCACACAAGCCCGCGGGGCGATAGATAAGCTGGAGAAGCAATGCATGGCACAAGCTTCTCGCAGCATCGAAACAAAAGAAAAGAAACCACAGAAGAACAGAAGCAACGAAACAGAAAAGAAAAAGCACAGCAAGCAGCAAAGGAGAACAAGAAAGCAACGAAGCATAAAAAGAAAAAGCAGCTGGCACAAACAAAGCAGAAAAGCAAAAAAGCATGAATCATGAAGCAGAAGTAATATGCAGAAAAGGCAAAAGGCAAAAAGCAAGCACAAGAAGCAGCAAAGCAATTGAATCCATCAAGTACAACAAAAAGGATTCAAAACTGGAATCATGTCCAAATGGCCTAGAATTCAGTACAAGACAAAACTAACAGTTAACAGAATTGTCTCAAAACATGTTGCTTTTACAAAGAAGCCTTTAGATTCCAAGGTCATTGCCTTTCACAAGATCAGATCAACCCACACCTCCTGCAGCAGGGGGCAACAGCATGGGTTCCGGGGTACCCGCCGGCAGCCTCGGTAACCTGCCGGCATGGACAATTTGGGACTCTTCGTCCCCACCAAGAGCGGAAAAGCCTTCGAAAATATCAGTAGTCTTGCATGTCTTGTGAACATACGAAAAAAGAATTGAGGACATGAACCAGTTGTTCCAAAAATACAGCACCGCTCGCCGATACAAACAGCATGTTGCACCTGGCACCACCAACCACCCCATGGCTCCTACAGTATTCGTCCATCTGCAGTTGCCCTGATGGACCCTCTTGTGTACATGTTATCGTTTCCATTTCAGCAAACACGTCTGGCACCAGTACGGCGGAAGTGGAGAGAGTGAAGAGGCCGACGAAGCCTAAACTGCTTGACATGTTAGGCACCAATTCAACTCGCTGTGTTCTGCTGGAGACTTGACTGTATTGTAAGGAAGGCTCCACATTCAACGTTTGGCTTCTACAACTGACCCAGAACACATGAATTGATATCATATGGGCGTTTGCCATTTTCAAGCTCCACGCCCATTGTCCAGGAGAAGTAGTGAGCGGCAAGGGCAATCGCCCAACAGCGTCAACACCACTGTCTGGCACAACAGGAACAAATGCAATGCAAGTGGTTCAGATAGCCACTCCAGCCACTGCAAGTCTGCAACAAAAATCCGCAACAAAATCTGCGAAGAAAACACCACATGTCGCAGTTTGAGAAGTTGTTTGGCCCCATAAAACACCTGTTTGAGAAGTTGAGAGGTTCGCAAGAGGCCATGAGCAGAGAAGCTTTGCACGACAAAGAATGCCGAGTCACCAAGAGCCATTGCTCCCAGGTGGTCTAAGTCGAAGCGCTTCAGCGGTGGTCTGGAAACCTTGTTGAAAGAATAAGGCAAAAGGGGCCGAGAGTTCGACTCTGAATCTGTTGAAGCAAAGGCAAACTTTGATGTTTTGAAAGCTGGGAAAAAGTAAGGCAGCCGCTGCGGCTTGGTCTGCAAGAATATCGAGCGCGTGCGCAGTTGCGCGTAGACACCAGGATGCATTCAGGCCTTAGTAAGGTGTCCTTCTTCCTTCGTTTGGTCTGAAGCGACCTTGATCAAACTTTGCCCCACATGTCCATGACAAAATCCTTGCTGGTGACTGTGCTTTACATTAGAATTTGATACAGCTAAACACATTTGAGAAACACTCCAAGGAAAAGCATAGAAGCAAGCAATCTGAGGGAAAAACATTCAAGATTTCGGCACCTCATGCCCAAACACCCAGCTTTATTTGGTCTGCATGTGTCTGCATGAAACAGTTGATCATGAAACAAAAAGAACCAGAACAAAAGGACACATTACCCTGGCTGTCTAAAATGGAAACAAAAACCGGTTCCAATGCAGGATACAAAACAAAAGATACAAAGTTAGAATTAATATGGGTACTCACACGGTAACCTGCCCACGCAAGTTTGATATTGATGACGATTCAAAAAAGGGAGCCTTTCTGAGCTTCACACTCCATGATCGCTTCAAAACACTTATCCGTGATCTCAGTGTTGCAGACCTCAGTCAGGAATTGAACACTGTTGGACCTTGGAGATAGGCGAGGTGAGGCTACCACACAAAGAAATTGCAATCTGCTGCAGTGGGTTAAGACACCCAGAACCCCAGCGTCAGAAAGCTTCATGGCCCACCTGGCACACCAGTTGCAGGCTGGCTCCACCAACCATATTGTTGCAGTGGGCACACACAGGGAACCCGGTGCCACTATCGCTTCATGCTTTCACTTTGGGCAGGGTGCAGCAAATGCAAGGGACTGCGCCTGACAAGGCTACTTGACATCCGGGATTGATATTGTGTGAGTGCGTCGGCATAGGGGGCCGGTAAATGTGCTGTCCCGGTTGATCCGGTTGACCCAGTTGACCCGGTTGAGCCCAGTTGATCCAGTTGGCCCGATTGACTTTGTGTGATAAAAATGTGGTAGTGGTAGTGGTAGTATTGGTAGTAGTGGTAGTATTGGTAGTGGTGGTGGTGGTGGTAGTAGTAGTACTAGTAGTAGTGGTGGTAGTCTTAGGAGTCTTAGTGGTTGTGGTGGTGGTGGTGTGAAAGTTAGACACCTCGTACGTCGCATTCCCTTTCATGTCAAAATCACTAGAGTTCCATGTTTCAATACACGCACAAATCAAGAAGAGTACTGCAGTATGCACGCATGTTTTGAGCCAGGCTGCAAGCATCCGCTTGTTTTTGGTCGTGGACAAAGACATTAACCCGGCGGTGCGCTCACGCACTGTCCGGGTGTACTCGAATGCCTGTCGCGTCCAGAGCGACAAATCGAGAAGTGTACCAGAACCTGCCATCGACGCATGGCTCAAGGTGACGCGGAAAAAGACAGCGTCACGAGACCGGACGGGCTTGGGCGTGGCGACTGATCGCAGTCGTGGGTTCCGTTCGATCGAACACTTTCGAAGTGATTCATTTGTTTTCTTTTGGGGTTCTCGCGAGTTTCGCACTTGAAGTAAACCTTCATATGGTAGCGGAGCTCCTGCGGGAGCTGTAGGTTCCAATTCATTCCAATTCACTTTGGATAGGTCACGACTTTTTATCCGTAGAGATTGAGCCATGGCCGATCGTGATGGAACTGCACCTCAGAGAGAACGATCCAGAGGAAGATCTGAAACTCGCCGAAGGAGTCCGGAAGCGCAGGGGGTAGATACATCAAGAATAGAGAGATTAGAAACACAAGTTGCGCGCCTTTCAGATTCGTTGGTCTCTCTTGGACCAGCTTTGCAACAAGTGATTCAGTTGAGCTCAAATCCAAACCTTGTTGCACAGAGTGTTGCTGCCCCGACTGCTTTTCCGGGTTCTCAGATTCCAATCCCACCAGCACAGGTGCCACAAAATCTTGCACCTGGTTTAGCCCAGCCTGATCCGACAGCCCAACCATCCGATCTAGGTAATCCGACTAATGTCAATGCAGACCCACTGCAGACATCCGATCCTTGGCGTAAGTATACTTTGCCATCTCGAGAGGCTGGCATTCCTGAACGACCATTCCCTACGAGCCTGCCAGCCTCACCGGATCGTCAATTCCCGCCGTTCGGAGCTTCTCAGTTGAATTGATTCCCCCACCACCAGGGATGCCACCCCTGCAATCCACAGGAGGTCCAAGATCCATTCCGATCGATACTCCTCCGGGATCAATGCATGAGAATGGAGGAGATGAAAACCCCTTCAAGAGGAGCGAACGGTGGATGCCAAACATGCCCACTCCAGCATATGATGAATGGAAATAACGACCTCAAGAAATCACCGGGTGTTTGTCTTGGGTAACTGATCTAGCTAGTTGGACTGGACTAGGATCCAACGCCTACCCTGCAGAGATTATGGGTTGTATCAAAGAAACTGAGCCTTTAGGTTGGCATCGATTGCAACCCAGCCAGATAACTAGGTCAGTCAGACATCTCTCCATCCTGAAGACATGCTTCATGAACCATGCCCGAGCAAGCCTGGTTATTCGCAACTATGAGGAAGCTAAGGGATTTCATCGATGCTGCGGATTCGAGTGTCTTCGACTGATTGCAAGAGAGTTTTCAGTGAAAACCCAAGAAGAATTGTTGTTTTTCAGGAATCAACTTGCTAATAGCACCGTCACCGGTCAAACGATTCCGGAGATCAGATTCAGTCCATCCCAGTGTCAACATCAAAGGTCTTGAATTTGCCGAAGCCGACAAGATTTTGATCCTTTTCAGAGCCCTGCCCCAACAGTGTCGTCAGTGGATTGTCCTGAACAATGCCGATGAATCCTTTGTGTCATATGTTGACAGTGCCCTCAGGTATGAAACCCAACAACGAATTTGGCTTGATCTCAACGGCAAACCCATTGCCAGCCTGGGAGGTTTCGATCCAAAAGGCAAAGGCAAGGAGCGCAAAGGTGGAAAAGGTAAGTATGACAACCAGGACAAAGAGGGCAAGGGAAAGCATTTGGGTAAAGGTAAAGGCACTGGATCCGGATCAGAGACCAGAAGCTGTTTTCAATGTGGTGAACGAGGTCATTTGTCCGCCAACTGTTCCAATCGTGACAAAACGCCACGGCAGTCCTGAGAAGCAGTCCAAAGGTGACAGGGAGATGGAAAAGGAAAGAATAAAGAGAAAGGAAAGAAGGGTGAGAAAGGAGATAAAGGTGGAAAGGGTAAAATGAAAGGGAAAAGGGCCACTGAGTTTTCGCAACCAGAGCCCGAAGCCGGGTCCGAGGTATGGTCAGAACCAGACTTCGAAGACGGTGGTCGTCTTTCCATGTGCTTGGAGCCCTCTTTGCCGATGAACCCTTCTTCATGTGCCAGAATCTCCATGATCATGATCCCCACCTTTGGCTCGTCGATTCCGGAGCTTCTCGAACCGTCGTTTCTGCACAAGCATTGAAAGTGTATCGAGTGTTGAGAGAGCGGGACATGACCACACCCATCAACTTTCGCACAACATCCGGAGAACAAGTAGCTATTGAAAGAGAATGTATGTTAGAAGTGTTCTTTCCCACCATGATTGAACATGAAGACGGTGAGAAAGTCAAGATTGTTCGATATGAAATTCGCGCCGTCATCGGACAGGTAGAGCGCAATTTGTTGAGTGTTCATGGACTCACCCGTATGGGAGCAACATTCACGTTCGGTCCGAACAGCTGCAGCATCCAAATTGCCGACATTCGCAGGATGTCATGCGAGATTTGGGCCAATGCTTTGAGGCATTTAGGTCTTTCATTGCTGCTGTCCAATACTTTGACCTTTGGTTGACGAGCCTGGACATCTCGACAGCGTTTTTGCACAGCAATCTCCCGCGGGGAGTGAGAGTGATCATTCGATTGCCAGCTGACCTGTCGTTCGGTGAAGATTCATACCAGCCGGTGTTTCTTGACCTCACACGTGCAATGAATGGTCTACGCGTTGCTTCAAAAGCTTGGCTGGGCACGTGCTCTCAGATTTTGAGGGACAATGCAGGACTTGTCACTTGCCCCAGTGAACAGACCATCTTAGCTGGCATGTCGAAGCCATCGGAATGTCCGACCGCAGTGCTTGTGTATGTTGATGACCTATTGCATGGTCGCTTTGTCGCCAAAGGGCATTGAAGATGTCAAGGCATCGCTGCAAGAGTCTCTGAAAGTCAAGGTCACAGGTTCGATCACCAGTTCACGACATGAAGGCGGTTCGTTGATGTTTTTGGGAAGAGAGGTGCCATATCATTGTATGTGAGGGTTCCCACCAAGTACTTGGAAGATTTGTTTGGGCATTCTGTAGTGATCTGAAAGCCTCACCTGTTCCTCCAGACCTGTTGGCCATCCTTGAGAAAGGACACAAAGACCCAAGCAACATCACGGTCCTCACGGACGAAGCAGCCTCGCGCTACCGAAAGCTGGTAGGCAAGTTGGCTTGGTGGGCACAGTCACGTCCAGACCACGCAAGATTCCTTTCTCTCCTGTCAATAGGTCAAGCTGCACCCACCAACATCCGTGAGAACATGCTTCGCAAGTATGTGAGGTTTGTAAGATCAGTTGCTCATTTGTATCAAGAGTACCCAGCCAACAGCACTTCCATTCCATTCTATGACGGCGTCACTGGTCTGGGGAAGTTCCGATGCAGAGCAACGGAGATCGATCAGTGGGGGCGTGATCTATTGGAAGGGGAGCGTAATCAAGGGATACAGCCGTGTGCAACATTACATAACGCTTTCGTCATGTGAACTCGAAGTGATTGCAGTGTGTCAGATCTCCCACGAATGAATGCATTGGACTGCGCCACCTCGTTGAGTTTTTGGAGAACTTTGCTGATCCGAGCGAGTTGGCACGATTCCATGAGAACGACCTCCAAGCCATTGCATTTGATCAAATTGGTAGTAGCGGGGATCAAGAGACATACCCAATCATCGTGCTTTCGGATTCTCAATCGTGTTTGGCAGCACTTCAAAACCAAGGGCTTTCTAGGAGAGTGAGACACATGTCATTGGCCACCTGTTTCATCCAATCTCTTGTTGAGAGCGGCCACTTGCTTTTTCGGTGGGTCTCAGGAAAGCTTTGTTGCGCCGACCTGCTGACGAAGATTTTGAATCGTGAAGCCGCAGAGTTTCATCGATGCCAGATTGGGATGACTGAACGAACAGCCCCTGAATCTTGGCAGTTTGAGTCAAAGAAGAAGTCTAAGGTAGTGAGAGTTGACGATGATGCCATCGCATCTAGCCCGGCTGACGTGCAGCCATCCCATGGATCCAGTCATGAAGAGATTGACGGACAATCTCACAAGGGAACGCCCAGCCTCAGTGCTTCTGTGAATGAGCCTGATAGTAAGGCCATCCATGATTTTTGCCAGAGCTTAGAGCACCTCAAGTCGCAAATCGGGAAGGGTCAGGTGTCACATGTCCTAGTTGACCTTTTCACAACCCGAGATGCCGGTTTTTCCCAGCTTCGTGGTTTGCATGAGTTTCGGAAGCTAGGCATCATCCCTGTCACCAAAGAATGTAAGATTCAGGTCATCAAGAACACCCTGACTGATTGGTTGTGTTTGATTTTAGATGATGTTTTGGTTTTGTGTTGGAGCAGTCCACCATGCACAGGAGGAAGTCCAGCGCTTAACCTGATCGCTCCGCCAAGACGATTTGAGCTGCAGGAGACTCATTTCCGCGAGTTTGAACACTTGCTGAATGAGTGCAC